GATTTGCCACTGGTAATATTTCCAGTGTTGCCCAAGGTGCACCTGATTCCTGAGGTCTTCATTTTAGCAATTTTCTTTGAGGAGGCTTCTTCCATGTACTCCATCAGAATGATCAAAAAGTGGTTTAGTGGAGAAGTTCAATGGAACTTTGGATGTCATGATTAAAAGAGGGTAATGCAACAAGTGGGACTTAATATTGCCATGCCTTTTATTTACATACAGGGTTTTCTTTTTTATATACTTCTGCATGAGAGAAGTTTCAAAGATTTGCTGGATCTGATATATTGAGATAGGAACATCTCAGTCAGGAAATATCGGTATGAAAATCCTTAATGTAAAAGGAAATCATTTAACTGGTTTGTTTATACTTAGCTCTATTTCACAAAAGACACATATAAAAGCTGTTAATATGAAGAAAGTAAGAAATAAACCTTTTCTAACCAAGAATTGAAAAAAGTAAAATTTTAAAAAATAAAGATAAAATTGACTTATTAACAATGTCATAGATTTTAGAAGGCTAGCGCAGTGCTCCAGGTTTCATCTGGTTGCTGTTGGTTGCTGTTTCTTCAGTTTTGAAATAATATTGATCGAAGATAATATTATTTGCTAGATAAGAAACAGGTCTCCCCACAGAGGCAGGAAATTATGCTTTTTTCTTTCAGCTTCTCAACTAAGTTGGGTTTATAGTTTATATTTTTATATATTATATTTTAGCATTACAATTTATATATTGTATTGTTTTAGCATTACAAAATTATTGAACCATTACTGATTCTGTTTTCTTACCTAGATATGTATATTCATTTATATTCTGCTCCATCAGTTTTTGAAAATTTTTAATAACAGTGCTGGGAAAAGGATTTGAAATCACATTTATTTTTTGTTTATTTATAAAAAAATAATTATGTTGAAATTGTTGTAATGATTTTGAATGAAATGGCATACAAGAAGGTGTTTCTCTGTGGGAGAATGAGGAGTATGAAGAGTTGTCAGTGAGTCCCAGAGTTATACAACAGAGTGATGTATCAAATGTTCAGGGCAAATAGAATATCTGCAAATAGAACATTGCAGCAGTTGATGTAAAAATAATGTATTAATTACTGATCTTGGTTTGTTTGTTTTTTTACACTTTGTGTATTCAATCATATTCAGCTCTACCAGTTCCTGAAAAGGGTCTCATTTAATAATAGTGCTGGGGATAAGATTCTCTTCAATCACAGAAGGGAATTGATAGTTGGAATTGATATTATAAACTGGGTTACATTTCCCAACCAATCCTTCCATCGAGTGAAAGTGGGGAAACTGGATCCCTGGGTTGAAAAGGAAAAATTCACCATTCATGCTGAAGTCATCACCTGGCACAGTGCTTTCAACCAAGTATGCTCTGATATTTTTGCTTGCATGATGGGATGTTACCCAACAATAACTTAAAGTATTTAAGTATAAACTTAAAATAAAGATTTTGAACTTTTTTTATGGCACAAGCTATTTGAAATACCCTTCATAGAAAGGTATTTCAGGATAAAGCATACGATATCCAGTAAAAAGTTTAAAAGGAAAGTTTAAAAGTTGCTGATTTATTTGAAAAGCAACTCAACATTTAGAAGAAATAAATAGAAGTTGAAAAGAAGTTGAAAGACTACCAAAATGAATTAGTTCAGATTCAATGTCAAGTATGCTTGTTGAATCCCCACATAATATTAGTTTGTATTCTCTATTATTGTATAATAATCAATGAGCCAAATTGTCTTTATTGAATGTAGGGGAGGAATTGTATAATAAGATTTTCAAAAAAATCAGGCTAAAAAGATTGATAATGATTGAATAAAAATAATTATTCTAATCATTCTACAGCAGTAATTGGCAATGAGATTATTTCTTCCATTATTAAAAATATACATGAAACCATATAATCCTCCTGGAATACCTGCAGGAATTGTGGCTTGGAGACATTGCTTTCTGAGTAGTTAGTTCCAGTGGTGGATGTGGTGAGGAGAGATGATCCTACTGGCTGCTTCCATAAACATGCCACCAGATTTAGTTTTTGACTTCCATTATTTAAATTCTACATAAACTTTGATTGAAATATTATCATATTCTGAGAACAGGTTTTCAGAAGCTTTAATTTCTTTCTCATGAAGGCCAGATCCCACTATAATAATCATTTTCATCCTGTAACAATTTCATGTTTAACTGGCAAAGAAGGATAGAAAGAATTAAATGTTTCCTCTTCGAAATGTGTCCATTCAGATTTTGGGTTTGACAGCAGTTGCAAACCTTAGACAGAAGAAGAAACTGTGATCTGAAAAATCTGTTGCAAACCAAAATTTGGGTCTACAAGTAGTTTGGTGTGGTTCAATCCTGAAGCAGGCTCAAGAGACCAAGCTGTCACTGCATTTTCATTTAAAATTGTGATTTCTTTTGAGTATGCTCTCTTTTAGCTCGTCTTCACCTACATACCACTTTCTTGTAAATGCCTTCATTATATGTCAGATCATTGCATTAGCATATAAAGTATGTAAAATGACTAGAAAAAAATATTTTAGCTATAACTTCAGTATGTTTCCAGCTTAGAAGAAACAAGATTACATAACTTCTACTATTAGAACAGAGGAAAAAATCATTATTGAATAATTTTGATGATGATGTTGATGAGAAAAAACATCACAATTAGAGTCTTCTTTTTAAAATGTCAATTGATCATGATATTTTAATTCTTTCATAAAACACCTGATTGAATGCTAACTTTATTTCACCTTTTGAGCAGACCATACCTGATTCTGTGTGTACTGAGAGCCGCCTTCCTGGTTATTTCAAGAAAAAACAGGAAGGGAAGCCATTTTGCTGTCATGATTGTTTTCCATGCTCCAAAGAGAAAATTTCAAGACAAAAGGGTAAGAAGCATTGTGAGCAAAATTCATCTTAACATTGTAAAACCAAACCAGGATTTAACATAGTACATGTAATTGCAGAGAATACTTACATGTTTATTTACTTGTTTATTAATTTATTTAGACTTTATATTGAATCCAGTTTTGGTCACCACAATATAAAAAATGTTGAGACTGGAAACAGTACAGAGAAGAATAACAAAGATGATTAGGAGGCTGGAGTGTAAAACATATGAAGAATGGCTTCAGGAATTGGGTATATCTAATTTAATGAAAAGGAATACATATGACATGATAGAATATTATTTGTTGGCTAAGTGTGATTGGACACACAAGGAATTTGTCTCCAGTGCCTAAGCTCTCAATGATAGCAGTACTCCAATCTCTTTTTAAATTGTTTTTAAATTGGTTTTATAATTGGGGTGTTTTAAATCTGGCCAATGTATTTTAAATGGTATTTTAAATGTATTTAATGTATTTTAAATGGTTTTAACGTTTGTATTATGTATATTTTACTTTCTGGCTGTTCACCGCCCTGAGTCCTTCGGGAGTAGGGCGGTATATAAATTTAATTATAAATAAATAAATAAAATAAATAAGGGACTACCACAAAGATGAGAGGGTCAACCTATTCTCAAAAGCACTTTGAGGCAGAACAGAAAGCAATGGATGGAAACTAATCAAGGAAAGATGATATAAGGATACAAGAAGAAAATTCCTGGCAGTTAGAATAATTAATCACTGGAATGGCTTGCTTTCAGAAATTGTGGGTGCTCCAACACTAGAAATTTTTAAGAAGAGATTGGCAACCACTTGTCTGAATTTAAATAGGGTCTGATGCTTGAGGTAGGGGTTGAACTACAAGACTTCAAAGGTTCCTTCCAACTCTGTTATTCTGTTAGCATGCCTATTTCTATATATTAAATACTATCTTGATATAGTTTACAAAATAATTCAAGCAATTAATAGATTTGGCCAAAAATAACACTACTGATTTGGCTTCTCTTCTTTCTTTAATTATGGTAGAAACTATCCACTATAACCTCTGTTTTATTTGTGAATATGAACATTTATATGGTTTTATTCTATTTTATTTATTTAGAAGCTTACATGCTCATCTGTCTTATATAAGATAATATTTGTGGCACAATGTAATATTAAATTAAAAACCAAAACAGAATAAATAAAGCAAATGAACCCTTAACAACTGCATGTATTCCAATTCCAGCCACAGAGATCCAGGATCCATACACTTCCTCAGTTAAAATATTAGCTAAGCTCAATGACAATTATGTAGCAAATTTTATGCCTGTCGGATAGAACAAACAAACAAATAAAAAGGGCAGACAAAGCATAAGAACACCATAATAAACATGAAAAGGGATCTTTTAAGAAAAGAAAAAGCATTTTCTGAACTGCCTCAGTCTGATCTTCTGAATAAAAATGATCCTTAACTCCATTTGGTGAGAAAGGTATAGCTTACTAGAAATCAAGTGAATTACACTAGTGCAAGATTTTCAGAACTGAAAATTGTGTACAGAAACCTTTCAAGTCAAATTCTTCCTTCCCTTAGGAGCTTTCTCCACGCTGGGTCTCATATCCAATGGAATTCAAAAAAGATGTTTTTAAAATGGACATGTCAAGTAGAGACTGATACACATCTATTTCCCATCCATCCAAACTTGAGAGCTGTGCCTCAGGAGATACAGTGAGTTTCATGTCTCTGGAAATCTCCCTCCTCCCCACTAGGTTTATAGCAGTCCGGCATGAAGTGATAGTGAAGCAAGAGTGAAGTGGCAGCTGACAACCATTCTAAATTCTCTTTACTAACTCAATTATGCCACAGTAGAAAATTAGATATACAATAGCAGCATAGGGTATCAAAGTATATTGTAATATCATTATTACTCTGTCCTGTTGTTCTTTGTTTTATACTATCATTCTAATTTTTCAAAATAATTTGTTATGTATTTTTGTCGATATTGTATTTCTATTTTGTTTGTATTTCTGTTTGGTTCATTTTTTCTTTATTATATTACAAAGATAAAATAATTAAGTAGATGTGTATATATATTGGTGACTGAAAAATTATATTCTTAAATTCCAGATATGCAGGATTGTTCTAAATGTCCAGAAGAACAATATCCAAGCAAGGACAAAGATTCATGTCTTCCAAAGAAAATATCTTTCTTATCCTATGAAGAACCAATGGGGATAACCTTAGTCATTCTGGCACTTTCTCTTTCTTTCTGCACTTTTGGAGTGCTGGCAACAGTTTTGAAATATCACCATACTCCCATTGTTAAGGCCAATAACCGAAATTTCACGTATGTTCTTCTCATCTCCCTCCTCCTCTGCTTCCTGTGCTCACTGCAATTCCTTGTTGCACCTGGAAATATTTTATGTCTTCTCCAACAAATTAGCTTTGGCATCATCTTCACAGTGGCCGTATCTTCTGTTCTGGCAAAAACCATCACTGTGGTTCTAGCTTTTATGGCCATGAAGCCAGGATCCAGAATGAAGAAATGGGTAGGAAAAGGCTCGGCCACATCCATTGTTCTTACTTGTTCCCTGATTCAGACAGGCATCTGTACAGTATGGCTCCTCACATTTCCCCCTTTCCCTGAAGTTGACACTCATTCAGAAATTGAAAAAATTGTATTGCAGTGCAATGAAGGTTCAGCTACCATGTTCTACTGTGTCCTGGGATACATGGGTTTTCTGGCAGCTGCCAGTTTCACAGTAGCTTTTTTCTCCAGGAATCTCCCCAGCAGTTTTAATGAGGCCAAATGTCTCACATTCAGCACGTTGATCTTCTGCAGTGTGTGGCTCTCCTTTGTTCCTTCCTACCTGAGCACCAAAAGCAAATACATGGTGGCTGTGGAGGTTTTCTCCATTTTGACCTCAAGTGCTGGGTTTCTGATTTGTATATATTTCCCAAAATGTTATGTAATCATTGTTAGGCCAGAGTTAAATAACAGAGAGCAACTTATTATGCGAAAAAGATAGTAATAAACACACAAAAATACTTCTAATATTTGTCTTTTATTATTCCTTGTTTGATATATGCATTATCTGTATCATTTATATTCATCTCTCATGTATTATTTTGTGAGGTAATAAATAAATGGAAAATATCCCATAATCCATAGCTGTTACTAAATAGATTAGTATTGCTGAATTTTTAGAAAACTAGAAGCAGCTATTTTTGTTGATTTGTAGCTTTTATTGCTGGTAAGTAATTTTTGTTAGAATAGGGGCTTTCTACAAAACAGTAATTCTAACTTTCATGGCCAGTGACTGAAAATCTACGTTGTTCTTTTCTGTTTCTTTTTCAAGTAATTGTATTGTGTAGTTGTCAACTTCTTCCACCTTTCTAGGTATTGACATACATTCAAAATTGGAAAAAATATGCAAAAATATAATGAAGTTTCATTTGTTATGCTTTACTGTATGCTGGATTTCATGAGTTTAGGTTTTATAGTGGTTCTTTGAGCCAAAAAGCTATCTAGTACTTTCAACAACCTAAATTGACTAGTTGCAATATTTTGTCCTTGTGCAGTGTTTGGCTATCCATTGTTCCAATTTACCTTGACATTAAGAGAGAATACCCAATAGCTGTGGAGGTTTTCTTCATGCTGTTTTCCACTGCTGAACTGCTGGGTTATATATTTTTACCAAAATGCTACAAAATTATTTTGACACCCGAGCTGAAGGATAGTAGAAACCAAAAAGAAACCAATGATTCAAACAATAATGCAATTCTTCTTTTTCAATTTCCTGCCTGTTCAAAATGTGTATTTTCAATTTAGTATTTAAAATAAAATATTTGCCATTTCTCTGAATGGATTACCTGAGGTATTTTTAAAGGAATATATAGATTCATCTTTTTCAGAAAAGAGTTCAAGTTAAGGAATGACTAAAGTAGGGCAGAAAGAATTGTACTCTAAGAAAAAGAGCAAAACTTTTTTAGATGCAGAATTTTATTAAATTTGAATGACAAAAGATTAAAATATAAAATTATAACCAAAACGGATAAGTAGGGAGGTGAAACAACAGCAAAAATTTTAAGTCACAAAACAACAACAAAAACTCTCTTCAATATGGATACAATTATAAGATATAATACACTCTTATTTTAGTCTAACAAAAACTGATATAAAATTAAAATATATTAAGTATTCATATCAAACAATCTAAGAATAAAAGTGTACATAATATCATTATCTTTTAGCCTAAATAAAATAAATAATCCATAAGTGAATCATAACAATTCCATAAGTATATATAAGTATATAAAATATAAAAATACATAAAATAAAATGTATGTCTTTTAAACTCTAACAATGCACCATAATACTATAGTCAAAACATTTAATCATCAAATCCCAAAGTCAAGATTTGGTTTTTATTTTTATCAAGGAAGAAATATAAATCATGCAGAAAGAAAAGCAATCAAATCAAGCAACAATTTTGCCATCTCTGGTAATTCCATTAAGTTCATGATCCAATCTTTCATTGTTGGAGTTCACCTCTTTGTGCTTATAGAAGCCTTTCATATATAAGAACCAGTCCCTTATTTTCTTTCAGTCTGTTTTATCAATCCTAAAATAAAAAATTATGGTTTCAATTGTACATCAGCATTAAGAATCTTCTGGATCAGCAAACCAACTTGATCCTAATATTTCTTAGTAATTTTAAAGATCCACAATAAATGGTAAAAAATACTGTCACATTGGTTACGTTTCTGATATTTGTTTAACTTTTCAGTATACATATACATCTTCATGAATGATTTGGATGAAGGGATACAGTAAATGGGGAACTCATTAAATTTGCAGATGACACCAAACTGTCAGGAATAGCCAACAGTCCAGAAGATAGGCTTAAGATTCAGAAGGTTCTTGACAAACTTGAATATCGGGTTCTATCTAACAAAATGAAATTCAATGGTAAAAAAAGTAAAGATCTACATTTAGGCAAGAAAAACCAAATGCACAGGTACAGCATAAGTTGTACCTCACTCAATAGTAGTAACTGTGAGAGAGATCTTGGCGTTCTAGTGGACAATCCCTTAAATATGAACCAGAACTGTGCTACAAATGCCAAAAAAGTCAACACAGTTCTAGGTTTTATTAATAGAGGGATAGAATCAGTTTCTTGGCCAGGGGGCTGTCCAATCAACATCGAGTGTTTTCCCACTTAATTTTTCTTCCAAAGGTTAATACATAAAACCCCTCCCTTCCCAGAAGGCACTTAGGCAACTTATTTACATATGTAATCGCGCAGGTGACTAGGACGTTCCCTGATCCTAGTGGACCTGCGCAGCTCAGTCTGAGGCGGAGTTCTGGGCTGGTCGGAGGGATTCTTTGTCTCTTCCAGCCCAACCAATGGAACCTCCTGGATTATTTTTGGGGTGTTGTTTTCTTCGGCTGGGACAGTCTTCTCGAGAGGGCGGTGCTGCACACCGAAGTCCTCCAGTAAGTTCTCCGACCACTTCGGGCTCGAGTCAGCTGCCAGAAAAATTGTTTGTGAGTCAGGGACTGGACTTTTTTGGTTGTTTTGCTCGTCTGGGCCTGCTTGGGCCAGGCGTTTTCTAAGTTGGTCTATGTGCCTGCGCCAGACTCTTCCATCTCCCATGTCTACCCACTGATTTTGGGCCAGTGATTTCAGCAATTTTTCCTGCCACCAAAGGGGACCTTCCCCATAGTTTCTAGTGAACACTGGTGTCCCACTAACAAACTCTCTGGTTTTCCCCTCGCTTTCCCTATACTGATCTAGGGAGTAATTTGGATGTAGTCTATCCAAAATAAAGTGGAGCCTCTGGCCCATTAACAGCTCGGCCGGGCTTCGCCCTGTGGCCATGCAGGAAATTACATGCTGGGCAGCAGAAAGGTGTCAATCCTGGCTTGCCAGTCTGCAGCGCCTAGTCTGGCTAGGGCTTCTTTGGCAGCTCTCATGAACCTTTCAACCAGCCCATTGCTAGCCAGATGGAAAGGTGCGGTGAGAGCATGCGGGACCCCATTTTCAGCCAGATAGCCTTTGAATTGTGTGGAAGTGAGTTGTGGCCCATTGTCAGATACCAGGACATCTGGTAGTCTGTGCATTGCAAATAGTTTTTGGAGGGCCTTGATGATGGCTTCTGTAGTGGTAGAATGCATTAAGACTATTTCGCGCCATTTTGAGTAGGCATCTACAATTATGAGGAAGGTTTGCCCATGAAATGGTCCTGTGAAATCAATATGAATTTGTGACCAGGGGCCCTGGGGATGTTCCCAACCCCATACTGGGGCTGTAGGGGAAGCAGGCCTAGACTCCTGGCAGGGGAGACACTTAGCAACCCATTCGGTGATGCAGTCATCCATTTTAGGCCACCATATGTAACTCCTTGTCAACCCCTTCATCCTTACGATGAAGGTGCTCCACATTTAAGTTTTCCAACACTTTTCCCCATAGACAATGAGGTACAACAACACGATCACCCTACAATAGACACCCCCCTTGAGTTGACTGTTTGTTCTGTTTGTTCACAAATGGTTTAAATTCTGTACTCACAGTACCAGCTGGCCATCCCCTATGCACCCAGCCAATCACAGTCCTTAATACATGATCTCTAGTAGAGGCACTTGCCACTTCTGCAGAAGTGAGAGGCCCCGAGTCCACAGAGTCAATTAGCAGGATCGGCATTCCCAGGGTTGGGTCTTCCAGCAAGTCTGGCAGTGGGCATCTGCTGAGGGCATTGGCATGCCCGAGGTTCTGGCCAGCGCGATGGACGAGGCGGTAGGAATAGGCGGCCAGGAAAAGGGCCACCTAGTCAAACGAGGAGACATGGCCATTGGCGTGGGACAGTCTCCTGCCAAGAGTCCCAGGAGAGGTCGGTGGTCAAGCTTGAAGGTCTGCTTGAACAAGTATTTGTGGAATTTCTTTACTCCTGCTACAGCTGCTAGGGCCTCACTGTCCAGCTGGCTGTAGTTTCTTTCAGCGCTGGACAGGGTGCAGGAGAAATAGGCAATAGGCACCTCTAGGCCATTCGGTAGTCTATGGCTCAAGATGGCCCCCATGCCAAATGGGAACACATCACATACCAATACAAAGGGAAGCAGCTCATTATACTGTATTAGGAGGCTGTCGGCAGATAGAAGTTTCTTGACAGCCTTGAATGCCCCTGCTTCTGCCTTGCCCCAAACCCACAGGGACTTCTTTGCCAGCAAGAGATGTAGTGGCTCAGCTATGGTTGCCTTATCTTTGAGAAATATGGAATAGAAATTCAAGAGTCTTGCTGGCGCAGCAGACTAAAGTGCTATTAAAAAACACCAGCTGCCTGCAATTACTGCAAGTTCAAATCTCACCAAGCTCAAGGTTGATTCAGCCTTCCATCTTTTCGAGGTAGGTAAAATGAGGACCCAGATTGTGGGGCAATAAGTTGACTTTGTATATATAAAAAAAGAACACCGCTTTGGGAGGGGGCGAAAGCCCTACTAAGCAGGTATATACAAAAGTATGAAGGCTATTGCTTAATGCATTGTAAGCCACCCTGAGTCTCCGGAAAAGGGCGGCATATAAATCGAACCAATAAATAAATAAACAAATAAAAGTCCAAGGAACACCTGTAGCTCTGCCTTGTTTTTAGGGGTTGGTGCGTTCCTAATAGCCCAGATTTTGCTCTCAGTTGGGTGAATGCCTGTCCCATCTATTTTATATCCTAAGAACTCAACGGTGGGTACTGCTATCTTGCACTTCTTTTGTTTAACTTGCAGTCCCTCATCTCAAAAAATTGTTAGCACCTTCCATAAACGGTCCCCCAATTGTTTTTCATCTGCTGCTGAGATTAGGACGTCGTCAAAATATGGGACTACCCCTGGAAGTCCCTGCAACAGCCTCTCCATAACACTTTGAAATATCCAGGGGGCTACGCTAACTCCAAACTGTAGTCTCGAACATTTAAAGGCACCTCTGTGCATAACAATAGTCTGTTCCTCTGCGGTAGCACCATTTACTGGCAGCTGCTGGTACTCCTGTGCAAGATCAAGTTTAGCAAAGATCTTGCCAGGGCCCAGCAAATGTAAGAGGTGCTGTACAATGAGGACAGGATAGGCACTTTGTTGGAGAGCTTTATTGAATGTGCATTTGTAGTCAGCACATATGCGGACTGACCCATCGGGCTTTAGCAAGGTGACAATTGGTGTTTCCCATTTATCATGGTCCACCGGAATTAAGATTCCTTGTTTAATTAGCTTGTCTAGTTCTAAGTCTATCTTTGGCTTGAGTGCAAAGGGCACTTACCATGCCTTAAGTCTGATGGGGGCTACACTAGGGTCTATATTGAAGGATATTGGGGTCCCCACATACTTGCCCAGACAATAGGAGAATAAGTCCTGGAACTCTCGTAGCAAGTCGTCCTGTAAACTGCTTCAGGTAGCATTGATTCCGATGACCCCCATTCCCAAAGCCTTAAACCAGTCTAGGCCGAGGAGGCTTGAGAGGCTCCCGCTCCTGCTGAGGGGCAGTCATTTGTTATGCTGGCCGAACTTGACCTAGAACATGCCATAGCCTTCTACAGGGATGCGATTTCCCTGATAGTCTCTTAGTTTCAGACATTGGTGTTGCAGTTGATGCCGTTTAAAGTTGGGAAGGGCTGTGTGGAGCTTGGCCCATGACATGATCATTATGGACAAGCCTGTGTCAATCTCCATCTTGCATGAAGCGCCCTCCATCTCAACGGTGACATGCAGCTTCTTTTCTGGCAAGGTGTTCGCTTGGCCGATATGTGTTTGAAAAGCCTCTGGAGTTTTAAAATATGCATCTTTCTTGGGCTGGATGCTCCAGGCTCTTCTGAAGGGCTGATGCTGGCCTGCACGATTAGTGACAGCTCTTTGTTTTTGGCTGGATGGCTGGGTTGCCCTGCACACCCATTCCAGATGTCCTTTGCGGCCACAGCGCTGGCAGATAGCTTCTCTGCAGGGTTACTGTAGGGTCTCAGCGGCTTTGTTGGACAACTCGTGAGCTCTAGTCTTGCCTAATGCGATGTTAGCATTGCCGAATATCTCTAATGCCACAGATGAGTTGCTCTAGGAGTGCATCATCAAGGTCTCGGTATTCGCAGTGCATTGCGGCCTTGCTCAGGGCGGCCATATAAGCGCTGATTAGCTCTCCCTCTTGCTGTAACCTCTGCCGGAACTCGTACCGTTGCACAAATTTAGATGGTACCGGGGCATAATGTGACTTCAGTGTGGTCTGTAAGACCTGCCATGATACCGATTGAACTGGGGTCGGTTCAGAAAGTGACTTCACCATATCGAAGACTTCTGGGCCACAGTGGCTTAGGAAGAGGGCTCGCTTCTGATTATCGGAAAGCCCTTGTAGATCGTTGGCTTCAAGGAAGCATTCAAATCTGGTCATGTTACATCCCCACTTCTCCTTTGCGGAATCAAAGGTGATGGCAAAGCAAAAGCGGACATCGTGGTTGTCATGCTCAGCTCGGCAGACTTTCCGCCTGGCTGGATTGTGGGTTGTCAGCTCTTTTTGGGTGCTACCTGTCTACTCGATCCCATCCTCATCGCCAGTGTTATGTTGGGTGAGTGAGGAGACAGGAGACAGGTCTGTGTGAACAACAGCTCTTTATTTCATAGTGACAAATCCAGCAATGAACACAGTTGACAGCTCCCTTTATATAGTTTCTTGGCCAGGGGGCTGTCCAATCAACGTTGAGTGTTAATTTTTCCTCCAAAAGTTAATACATAACACCACCAAGTCACACCCACCAAGCCACAACCACAGAACTGGTAGTAAAAAAATTTGAATCTCACCATTAGACAAGAAGACCTCCAAGGTCCCATCACATTCTGTTATTCTATTTTTTTATATTTAATAGTTTTTCAGGTGTTAAATACCAACCATATATTATTTCATATAAACATTTCTTTCAAATTATAAGACAAGTAAGAAAACACATTCTTCACATAACACAGAAAAATGAAAATCTAAAAACATTTCTTCCCACTATCTATAATTATCAAAAATGTTGTTATTAACACTAATAGGCTCCCTAGCAATTTATAGCCAACAAGGACTAAAGCTTTATGAATAATATCAATAATCCCTGGCAATTCTCATCTGTAACTTGAATCTAAAGACAGATGATGTTTATAAAGTTTATTTCTGATAGTGAGAAGTCAAGGTTTCTGAATACTGTGTCAAAGTTTGAGAATAGTGTGAAGGTAGTTAAGGCAAATCATACTTTTATGATTTTAAACCATTATCAGACAAACTCTGCTACAGATATACAATTGGCATAATAACCATGATTATTTTATTCTTGTTTTTATCTCATATGGTTTGGAAATGTGAGTTGAGGAATTGCATTATTGATGATCCTGTCCCTATTTCTCATAATTATTTCCAACCTGGTGAGTTCATCATTGGTGCTATTACTTCTCTTATGTTCATGCCTACAGAACTAGAAAACTTCTTGGAAGATCCCCATCTTTCATTTATTGGTGAAGTCATGTAAGTGTCCTGATCTCATTGTTCAGTGTAAGAGATTCTAAATTATATTTACCTTTGTAATACTCTTAGACATAATAGAATAACTTTTAGTGACAATTTTCTCTCTCTAATTTAAATGTTGTGCTTTATTTATCTAGGGTTCTTAAAAGAATTAGAAATAATTGCCTCAATTTATTAGCTGAAAATTAAAGGATTCTGACAATGTGTCAGAGAAATCCTGCTGTTCAGTGAACAATTTTTTTAATCAGTTAAAGAAAAGAAAGAAAAAGAGGTTAAAGTGTTAAAAAGAAAACAGATTTCAAACAATTCATGTTTGCACCAGAATATTTCAAGGATATACTAAGAGTTTTAGGACATTTTTATAATTGCAATATTTTTGAGTTCCTTCTTTGTTTATAGACTTGACATTCTCTTTTTTAATAATTTTTTTTAAAAAACCCATTCTTTTCACTAGGCCAAACTACTAATAACACATTTTATTGTCACAATTTACGATTGTGATTTTTCAGATTAGGAAATCTTCAAATCTTCGTTAAAATTGAAAAGCATTTAAGATATTGAAAAGTTTGTGTTTTCTGTTCAAAAACTATACAAAGCTAAACTATTTGCAATACTTAGTACACAAATCATGACACTCAGAAGTGTTATTCAACTGATTTGGACTAGTTCAGGAAAACTGGTAGGGAAAACACCCACCCGTCCCAGCTCTATGCCATCCTCTTTAGGCACATTTTTGAGGCTGAGCGCATGCACGGAAGGCACATGCGTGAGCAAAGCGTATGCACGGAAGGTCGGCCACATGCCAAGAAGGCGCGTGTGTGAAGCGAGTGTGCACACACAGGGCAAAACAGTGGTAACAAAATATGAAACCCACCGCTGATGACACTGTATTATTGCTTTCAAAGGCAAAATATTTGGATGGCCATATATTTGTTAGAATGTTTCTCTTATGTATAGTATGTTTCTTTTATCACCTACAATTGTTATTCTAGAATCCAGACTAAGTTTTATCAGCATATTTTGGCTTTGGTATTTGCTGTGAAAGAGATAAATGAAAACCCTCAAATCTTGCCCAATGTTACCTTGGGCATCAATATTTTTGACAATTATGATAGAAGATGGATTTATCATGCAACAATGGAACTTTTTTCACCTCTGAAGAGAATGGTCCCCAATTATAAGTGTGGTTTCCAGAACACTCTAGTTGCAATCATTGGAGCCCTTTATTCTGAAATCTCTGTTGACATGGCAGATATCTTGAGGTTATACAAATTCCCACAGGTAGGATGTGTAGTCTTATGAAATCATGTGGATTTTTCTGAACTTTTTACATCTATATAAATTCTACACATACTAATGTGTGCTTGATATTTACTTAGTTTATATTTACTTAGTTTACTTAGTTGATTAATAAAGGATATAAAGAAAACAAATTATTAAAGCTTGAGGCAATGTGAATAATAAATTTGGTTTTATAGGCTGATTGTAAGGAAAGGATCGTGATCTTTGCAAGAGCGCCCCAAGGAAATTAGAAAAAGAAGGTTTTTAGTAACAAGGAATTTTATTGCAAAACCAAATTATTTTGAACAATTTACAGTGATTGAATCAGTAAAAGAAGATGATAAACCATTCAAAGAAACATGATATTCAATGAAAGAGAGCTAGAAAGTCATCTTCTGACTCAGTAAGCTTTACCATACATGGCTTTTCATTTTCCTTTTTCTGAGGTAGGTGACCAGGAGCTGTCCTTGATTGAAATCAAATTAAATTTTGATTTCAATTAAACCACTAAGTTGTTAGAATATAGAGAACAAAGCCCACCCCTTACTAGCACTGTTGAGGTTAGCTACAGTAGTTTAGATATTTAAATGTCTTCAAGAAATCAGCCAAAGTCAAAGAGCACCTGGGTCTCTCAAGTTAAATTTTAATTAACCACAACCAACCAACCAACCAACCAACCAACCAACCAACCAACCAACCAACCAACCAACCAACCAACCAACCAACCAACCAGACATTCAGACAACCAACCAATTCAGTTGTATTTCAAAAAGTTCCCAGAAAACATTAATCTGGAAATCCTAATGCACCAATTTGAAATGCAAGCATGTTATTGAAATGTAATATTATCAATTATACAGCATGAGGATATCACAAATCTATCTTCTGCTGAATAAAAAATTATGCTTTTATTCTTATAAGGCTGCTAAAATAAGTCATACACAATCTGAAATTTTCTAGATGCTTGAGAAATATCTCCCAAAGTAGAGCAGCTTTAGCGCACCTACTAGTTTAGCAAATATTTCTTTCTGTTTTCTAAGCTTCTATTAATTTTCTTATTCCTGTAGTTAATCTATGGATCACATCCAGAGATGCCAGATCAAAGTGAATCCTTTTTCTTCTATCACATGGTGCCGAATGAAAATATTATATACCAAGGATTTCTTCAGTTGCTTGTTTACTTCAAATGGACCTGGGTTGGAATCCTTGTGAGAGATGATGATGCTGAAATATTTGTGCGGATGGTTTTTTCAACTTTTCCTCTTCATGGCATTTGCATTGCCTTTTTAAAAATAATTAAACAACTGCACATCAGTAATGTATTTGTGGAATTGGAGTGGCTCGTGGAAACATTTTATCTCACTATGAACAGTAATGCCAATGCAATAATTGTCTATGAAACAACCCTTCTGCATCTGAGGTTGTTGCTAAATCTTCCTAAAATTGAATCAGTTTCTATGGAGCCAAAAGGTAAAGTGTGGATTATACCCTGTCAAATGGATTTTGCAACAGTAATTTATCAAAGGACCTGGGATATTCAAGACATCCATGGTGCCCTGTCCTTTTCAGTTTATTCCAATGAAGTTCCAGGATTTCAGCAATTTGTTCAGGGAAGAGACCATTTCTTATCAAAAGAAGATGGTTTTATTAAAGATGTTTGGATGCATGCATTTCAATGTGCCTTTTCCAGTTCCTTGGTCAATGGAAAAGAGAGTGACATTTGCACTATGAAGGAGAAATTGGAGGACCTTCCTGGTGCTCTTTTTGAAATGAGCATGACTGGTTATACTTACAATATATACAATGCAGTGTATGTTGTAGCTCATGCTTTACATGCCATGCATATGGAACAAAACCACAAGGGAAAGTTGAGTATTCAGGAGAAAAAGTCATGGCAGGTACTGAACATTTATGCATTTTTCTCTTTCTTCATACAAACATGTATGCATTCACAATATATTTTTCATACAAATCATACAAAACCAAAGAAACGAAGGGTTGAGATACAATATAAATGGGGGACATAGGTAAATCTAATTATATCCACTATATACTCCATAACATTCTATCCCTCAAATACTCTAGCTTTCACTCTTGCCAATGCACTGCTTCATGCATTGCTTGTTGTTCTCCAATTACATTAGCTCTTTCTTCTATGGATCTCATTAACTCTCTTCATGAATTTCTCAGTTTTGTTCTTTCTCTTACCCCATTCATTCTTTTTTTAATAAATATGTTCTGTAATTTATTTCTCAATTATTCTCAATCTGTTAGATTATCTCAGTCTCCTTGCTTTGTACTGGTATTTAATCCATGTTCATTCAGACTATTCTTCCTTCACTCTTCCTTATGTTTCAGCATGCATATTTCGTTCTCCTTTCCAGGTAAAAAGAAAGGATGCATTTATACATAAACATTTTGTTTCTCTCAATAAATATTTAGACTACACATAACAGGATTGAAGGGAGATACCAAATGTTGAGGACTAATAAAACTTCAGCATATATTGTTACAACAATTGATGTGAAAAGTCTATTTATTACTGATTCTGTATTAATGATGGGCTTTGGAACCCCGAGAGGTGGCATGGTGCGAGAAGGGGGTTGAGGGGATTTTTAGCTAAATTTTTAATCAAAATTTTAAGGGGACCCTGGAGGAAGGGAGGGGATTGTAAAAGTGGACCCGGGGGGGGGGGTTCAGATAGCAACAGAGCGGGGTGATGGGTCGATTGGCTGCAACGGAGGGGTCGTGAAAGGAAATTTAACTGGGGAGCAGGGAGACGATAGGAAGGGCTGTGTAATTGAAACAATGAGTGGGAGGGGCAGGTATGACGGGCACAGAGGGCCATATCATGTGCTGGGGGTGCGCACATGCTGTTTATGAGCAATTACGCACCCTGGCCCCCAATGCGCGACTCGTGTCCTGGGTTGTGCAGAGTCTCAGGCCTAGGGTCCACGGCTGATGTTGTGTAATGCCAGGTCGATCGTTAATAAAGCCCCCCTCATTTGTGATCTTATTTTAGAGGGGGGTGCGGACCTGGCAGGTATTACGGAGACCTGGTTGGGCCAAGAGGGGGGGTTCCCCTCATGGAGATGTGCCACCAGGTTTCTGTGCATTTCATCAGCCAAGGGCCCAGGGGAGGAGTGGGGGAGTGGCAGTAATTATTAGGGAGAGTCTTTGTCCGAGGGAGACCACTGTTCCTCAGATAGCCGGATGTGAGTCCCTCTTTGTGAAGTGGGGCCATGGGGTGCAGATGGGTTTGCTGACTACGTACCTGGCTCCCTGCCACGTGGCAGCGACCCTGCCCAAGCTATTTGACGTCATTGCCGGGGTGGCGGTTGATACCCCCAGACTTATTGTCATGGGGGATTTCAACCTTCCGTCTGCGGGTGAGGCATCAGAGGTGGCTCAGGAGTTCATGGCTTCCATGACGGCCATGGACCTTACCCAGTTAGTTCAAGGCCCGACTCACATAGGGGGACACACTCTGGACCTGATTTTTGTCTCTGGTCAGTGGTTGAATGAACTTGGTAGAGGGGACCAAGACATCAAACCCTTGTCATGGACAGATCATTCGCTCCTTCACTTAGACTTTCCTGCTGCTTTCGCCCACCACAGGGAGATGGAACTGACCAAATGGTTCCGTCCCAGGTGCCTGATGGACCCCGAAAGGTTCCTGATGGAGCTTGGGCCGTTTCCTGAGACTCTAACACACGACTCGACTGAAGAGCTGGTGGCCGCCTGGGAGAGTGCGGCCATCAGAGCTTTGGACCACATCATGCCTTTGCGGCCTCTGACCCGATGCCAATCTCAATTGGCTCCTCGGTTCTCTGAGGAGCTGAGAGAGATGAAGCGTCGGAAAAGACGCCTAGAGAGCATTTGGAGGACTAGTCAATCCAATTCCAACCGGACACAGGTGAGGTCTTATATCAAGACCTACCTAGTGGCGATAAAAGCGGCGAAATCTAACCATTTTTCTGCTCTTATCGCATCTGCAGAGAACCACCCAGCCGCCCTGTTTAGGGTGACCCACTCCCTTCTTCGGGGGGGGGAGTGCGGGAAGATCCCTTGCAGGGCCGCGCTGAGGATTTTGTGCAATTCCTGCATGATAAAGTCGCTCGGATTCAGGATGGCTTGGACTCTGATTGGATGAGTCCAGGGGAGGAGACAGGGGCAGGTCTTGAGAATATTATCTGGGAGGAGTTTGATCCTGTGGCTCCCGAGGATGTGGACAGGGTTCTGGGTAGGATTAGTGCCGCCACATGTTTATTGGACCCGTGTCCCTCCTGGTTGGTACTGGCCTCCCGGGAGGTTACACGAGGCTGGCTCCAGGGGATTATAACTGCTTCTCTGAGTGAGGGCGCCTTTCCCGCCGCCTTCAAAGAGGCGGTGGTGTGGCCCCTCCTCAAGAAGCCTTCCCTGGACCCGGATGAATTAGCTAACTACCGTCCGGTCTCCAACCTTCGCTTTGTGGCGAAGGTTGTCGAGAGTGTGGTGGCACGACAACTGCCCAGGCACCTGGATGAATCTATCTATCTAGACCCGTGCCATTCGGGCTTCAGGCAGGGGCACAGCACAGAAACGGCATTGGTCGCGTTGGTGGATGATCTCTGGAGGGCTCGGGACAGGGGTTGCTCCTCTGTCCTAGTCCTATTAGATCTCTCAGCGGCTTTTGATACCATCGACCATGGTATCATGCTGCAGCGGTTGAGAGGGTTAGGAATAGGGGGCACCGTTCTGCGATGGTTCTCCTCCTTCCTCTCCGACCGCTCGCAGTTCGTGTTGGCAGGGGGGCAGAGGTCGACCTCGAGGCGTCTCGCATGGGGAGTGCCACAAGGGTCGGTCCTCTCACCCCTTCTGTTCAACATTTATGTGAAGCCGCTGGGTGGGATCATCTGTGGTTTTGGGGTGAAGTGTCATCTGTACGCTGATGATACTCAGCTGTACATCTCTACCCCAGACCACCCCAACGATGCCCTTGATGTGATGTCCCGCTGCCTGGAGGCCGTGCGGGTCTGGATGGGGAGGAACAGGCCCAGACTCAACCCTTCCAAGACTGAGTGGCTGTGGCTGCCGGCGTCCCGATATAGTCAGCAGGTGCCATCGCTGACTATTGGGGGTGAATCTTTGCCCCCCACAGAGAGGGCTCGCAATCTGGGTATCCTCCTGGACGCACGGCTGTCTTTAGAAGAGCACATGATGGCCATGGCCAGGGGAGCCTTTTATCAGGTTCGCCTGATCCTCCAGTTGCAGCCCTTTCTGGACCGGGACGCCTTGCGCACGGTCACTCATGCCCATGTCACTTCCCGGCTGGACTATTGTAATGCTCTCTACATGGGGCTCCCCTTGAAGAGCACTCGGAGGCTCCAACTGGTCCAGAATGCGGCCGCGCAGGTGGTTATGGGCGCAACCCATTGTGCCCACGTGACCCCCCTCCTGCGCGAGCTGCACTGGCTCCCAGTGGTCTTCTGGGTGCGATTCAAGGTGTTGGTTACCACCTTTAAAGCGCTCCATGGCATAGGACCCGGGTACCTTCGAGACCGTCTTCTGCCACCGATAGCCTCCCACCGACCAGTCCGCTCCCACAGAGAGGGTCTCCTCAGGGTGCCATCAGCCAAGTTATGTTGGCTGGTGACACCCAGGAGGAGGGCCTTCTCTGTGGGAGCCCCAGCCCTGTGGAATGAATTGCCCCCCGGAAATACATAAGATCTCTGACCTCTGGGTGTTTCGTTGCGCATTGAAGACCCTGTTGTTCCGCCAGGCCAGCCTATCAACATAATAATTTTAATTGGGGTATTTTAAATTTTTGGGGTTTTAATCCGGCAAAATTTATTTAATTATTTTAATTTTTAATCATTGTTGTGTCCTGTGCTTTTTAAATTGGCTGTACACCGCCCTGAGTCCTTCGGGAGAAGGGCGGTATAGAAATAAATATTATTATTATTATTATTATTATTATTATTATTATTATTATTATTAATATCAATTGTTGGGTCTTCATTGATATTCAGCTCCACCAGTTTCTGAAAGGGGTCTCATTTAATAACAATGCTGGGGATAGGATTCAGTTCAATCAGAGGAGGGAATTGATATCTGGATTTGATATTATAAACTGGGTCACCTTCCCAAACCAATCCTTCCATCGAGTGAAAGTAGGGAAGCTGGATCCCTGGGTGAAAGAGGAAAAATTCACTATTCATGATGAAATCATCACCTGGCACAATAGTTTCAACCAGGTAAGTTCTGAATTCTTTTGCTTGCATGACTGGTATGATATCCAAAATAACTTGTGTATCATTTAACACTAAAATAATATTACAGAGTTTTTTTTATAAAGACTTTGAGCATTTAGTTGTGATACAGCAATTTGAAATACTCCTCAGAGAGAGGTATTTCATGAATAAAATATTTATTTATTTATTTATTTATTTATTTATTTATTTATTTATTTATATTTATTTATTTATTTATTTATTTATTGAATTGGTTCGATTTATATGCCTCCCTTCTCCGGAGACTCAGGGCGGCTTACAATGCATTAAGCAATAGCCTTCATACTTTTGTATATACCTGCTTAGTAGGGCTTTTTTGGTTCCCCCAAGCGGTGTTCTTTTTTATACAAAGTCAGCTTATTGCCCTCACAATCCGGGTCCTCATTTTACCTACCTCGAAAGGATGGAAGGCTGAGCCTGGTGAGATCTTTATTGATCTTTATTAAAAAGTTTAAAAGTAAAGATTTATTCAAAAACAATAACATCTAGAAAAACAAAAATAGAAGATTTTTAAAAAGAGTTGACAGGCTGCCAAAATGAATTGGTCCAGATTCAATGTTAAGCATGCTTGATGAAGCTTCTTGTAATATTAGACTATTGGTAGATATTTTAGTTTTTATTTTGATATAAATGAATGAGACAAATTCTTTTTATTAATTGGGGAGGGGTAAGTGTACATTAAGGTTTGTAAGCCAAGTCATGGTTAAAAAAAAGTTTGCTAATAAGCTGGATAAAATATATTATTCTAATAATTCTGCTACAATAATTAACAATGGGGTTATTTCTTCCATAATGAAGAAGATAGATGGAATGCTAATATCTTCCTGGAATGCCTGCAGGGTTGTGGGTTGGGAACATTGCATTCTGAGAAGGTGTTCCAGTCTTTGGTTGTGGAGTGGACAGATGAACCCAGATGAATGAGAAGCAAAATGTCTTCTTCCTCAGAAAGACCAGTTACATTTTGAAAAAGCACCTTTCAGATTCCATACAATTTGATTAGATTCAGTTAATTTCAAAAATAAGCCTGAAAAATATGTTAAATTATCTTTAGTTTTATTTAAAATGTCTATATTATCCAAAGTGGGACATGAAGTGACAGTAAAAAACACCAGTTTTGATCAGTCCCACTGAAATAACTTTGGCATGGTCTGGGACTAAAATATTTTCCAGTTTAAAAGAAAGAAATTTACTTATATTTTTATCAAATACCTGACTGAATGTTAACATTTACCTTCTTTATTTATTTGGAAGACCCCACCTGTTTCACTCTGTTCTGAGAGCTGCCTCCCTGGTTATTTCAAAAAAAAGCAGGAGGGGAAGCCATTTTGCTGCTATGATTGCCTTCCATGCCCTAAAGAGAAAATTTCAGTTGAAAAAGGTAAGTACCATGTTCATCTTTGTAAAACCACACTAGGATTTTGCCCGGATAACAGAGCACATAGCATTGCAATTTACTTGTTTATTGATCTATTTAGATTTCAATATACTTCTTTCTATCATTACAAAAACTATTTATGCGATTTACAAAATGATTCAAGCCCTTAATAAATTTGGTCAAAATAATAGTAATGCTTCCGGTTTGGCGTTGTGGCAAGACAATCAGAGAAATAGCGGGGTCTGATAAGTGCTGCGAAAACCCCAGCTGCCGAACTGCTGCCGATGGGTCTTTGGACCGGAACCGTCCTGCAGGGATGGGGAAGAAAGAGAAGCGCCTCGGATGACCAAGAGGAACAGGCAAGTTCCTTGGAGGTCAGAGGGAACTCTCTGTGAGTTGGCGGCGGGGGGGTGGCAGCCATGGCGGCTGCCACGAAGTTGGGACAACCGGCCTAAGTATAGAGCTGGAGAGAAGAAAGAAATGGAACAGAGTCTTTTTGAATCTGGGTGAGTGACAGCCAACTCAGGCTTGAATAACAACAAGAGAAGCATTTTACAACTACAAGACCCCTAATGTGTAATAGCGGCTAAGGAGCATGGGGCCAAAGAAGATTTTGAAATGTAATTTGGAAGAAGAGACAAAAACCCAATTGAAAATTGATTTCTGAACAAATTAATTGGAAACTTTAAATAATTAGATATGGTTAAAGGATTGGAAAGAAATAAAGAGATCCTTCCCACCCCCCCTTTTTTTTTATAAATGGCAAGAAAAATAAAAAGAATGGACAATAAGCTTTAAGAAGAAAAAAAAGGATGTATAAATAAAAGGGGAAAAAAGAAAAAAAGAAGTGAGAAGAGCTATTTAAATTTGGACTGGACTTTAAATATGATTTGATATTTTTAAATTGAAAAAGAAAAAAGAGAAGTCAAGTAAGATTGTGATATAATCAGTGGTGGGATTCTGCCGGTTCTAGGCGGTTCAGCCGAACCATTTGTTAAATTGCTGGCTCGCCGCGCCCCTTGCCCTGTCCCTCCACACCACTATTTATTGGCTTCGGCCCACACAGCACATGAACCATTTGTTAAATTGCTGGCTCACTCACCCCTCCCCACCACTATTTATTGCCAATAAATATGGTGGAGCGGGGCAAGCGAGTCAGCTATTTAACAAACTGTTTGGTTTTTTGTTTTTTTTTTTGTAATTTATTGGCCTCGCAGCACACCGAACCATTTTTTAAATTGCTGGCTCGCCCGCCCCTCACCCTGCCCCATCCCACCACTATTTATTGGCCTTGCACCATCAGTGGAAATTTGGCATGTTTTTCTGAACCATTAGTGACCTTTGGCTGGCCACGCCCCCGAACTGGTTCCCGCTCACTCACCCTGCCCGCCTGATACTTGCCCGCCATGTCCAGCCACTACTTGCAGAATCTACCCCCATACTTCTGCTCACCGCTGCTGGCAAAGGTAAGGCCAAAGGGCACAGGTGACCGGGGGAGGGAGAGCTAGTGGAGGAGTGATACCAGCAGCAGGTGGTGGATCGATGCATGCAGGGAGAGAGGAGAGCGCACAGGAGATTGCGGCACTGGAGCTCTTCCCATACGTTTCCCCCAGCCGGCCTGGCCTGCGAGGGAAGCACGCGGGAGATCCCAGCTGCAGTTTACTCATGAGTAACATTGACTGGGAGAGGCAGGGAGAAAGGCCAATGGTGTTCACGAGTAAACTGAGGCTCCTAAGAGGGGGTCGAACCTCCTCATCTACAACATCTTCATCTGAGGGCATTGCTGGCAGCCACTTCCTGCACCTCCCATCCCATGCTCTTCCCACTGCTGCTCAGCCTCCTCGATGCACAGAGGCAGGAGGCGCTTTGCTTTGCTTTGCTTTGCTTTGCTTTGCTTTGCTTTGCTTTGCTTTGCTTTGCTTTGCTTTGCTTTGCTTTGCTTTGCTCCCCTCTCCCTGCCAGTGGTGTTGCATGCAGCCACTGCACTGAGACTGATAGGGCAGCAGCAGCCCTCTCCTATCTTTCTCCAGCTGGGCGGGAAAAAAAGGAGGGGACTTCACAAACAAAAGAGAACTATGCTCACGAGTAAACTTGCCCATGAGTAAACTGCAGTTTAGAGGTAGGCAGCAGCTCGCAGGCAGCAAAAGAAACTGCTTTGGCTCTGGTGCCAAAAAAAATTGGTGGGGAGAAAAAGAGGGAGGGTAGGAACAGGCGAAGGGCAATTTTTTCACTGTTTTAACTGTAGCAACATCCTTCTTGCTATTCCTGGTATGTGATGTTTTGTAAACATACAGAGAAAGAAGCACTCTTATGATCTTTGACTTTTAGGCTTTTAGACTTCAGCCATAATACTAATGACTGTTTTGAACAATAGGCAGGTTGTATTACACGAATGGCTATTTTATATGTGAAATTATGACTGAAATATTTTTGCACCTATATTGGTTCACACTGTCAGGAAGTTTCTTTAGTGTAAAGAAACTTCCTGACAGTGTGAACCAATGTAGGTTGAGAAATATTTCAGTCATAATTTCAGGAAGTTTCTTTACACTAATTATACAACGAACAAGGAATGCTTATTTTCTGAAATCATGTACATTCCAGTTTTTTCCCCTTCTGGGCTCAATGTGGGCTTAAAATGAGCACAGGACCACAACCAAGTAAACATATATAGTAACAGTACTAACAATCATTAGGTTGAGTAGCCATTTTAGATTATTTATGTTGGATATTAGGGAAGTACCCAACAGGCTACATGCACAATGCATAGCTGACTCTGTAGCTCTTAAATCAATCTCCTGAATTTAAAATGTTATATAGGCACTAGTCTAAAGAAAGATTCCACTATCAGTCCAGTGTGATATTGCAGTCTCACATGTGTCAGTTCTACAACAACAGAACTATTCATAACAGATATTTATTCGAAGCAAGTCCCATTGACTATATGGGAAGGTGCATATTCCCAGGTAATTAAGAAATGACTGGGTGCTTAGGTTGAATGTTTAAGGTTGCAGACCCCTGACCTACCCCATCCTATTACTTCACCTTGCAGCTAGCCCTGTAGGCCTGCGCCCGCCTCCCACCTGGGCAGCAGTGGCCTACCTACCCCAGTTGTATCAATGTGCCCTGCAGCCGGCCTGAACGCCCACCTCAGATTGCCTCCGACTGCTCCAGCAGTTCATTTTTATTTAATTAATTTAATTAATTTAATTAATTTAATTAAGAATGCTAAAATGGGCATAAATGATGACAGGTCCTCACACTTGACCGGCCCTCGCACTTATGACTGTCCTCACATTTTACATTTTGCACCCTATCTTTTCACCGTGGTGCAGAGAAGTAGTTGTGAAATGAGTGACACAGTTGTTAAGAATGCTGTAATGGGCATAAATGTCATAAGTGCAAGGACCAGTAAGAAATGACTTTTTTCAGCCCTCTTAGTAATACCTATGCACATAGCCACTCCCACCCGGTCACATGACCAGCTAGCCACACCCACCCAGTCACATGACCAGCTAGCCACACCCCCAACTAAGCCACACCCACTGAAATGGTTGTTAAAAAAATTGAATCCCACCACTGGATATAATGGAAACAAAATGGGTACTTATTAAACAATTGGAAATTGTGGATTGCAGAGAGACACCATCTGGAGTAAAAAGAATCATTGCAACTTGGTTCTTTGTTTTGGAAAATTGTGAACTTCACCAGATAATAAACATGAGAACTTGTGGAGAGGATTTTCTTGTCTACAAGAGGCTTGACTTTTGGAGGAATAAAAAAAGAAATAGAAGGGAATACAATGGAATACAATAATTGGAACAACTATTTGATTTGGAGAATGGAAATAAAAGAAATAACTATAATATTGCACAGAGGACAAAATTTGAGGATATAAAAATCGAAATGGAGTATACATGTATGGACAAGAAAATGAAGATAGAGAAATAAGACATAGAAGTGGAAAATAAAGAAGCTAAAGATATTGTGATTAATAATGAGCAAATAATTGAACATGTGAATATTAATAATAAAAAGGGGGTCCCTAGAGATTATATTGAGATTAACAATAACACAATGATGATTATACTGAGATTAATAATGATATAATGATGATTATATGGAGATTAATACTGAATGATAAAAGAATAAAAGGTTGGAAAATATTAAGAAATTTAAAGAAGTCCAGGACCTGGATTTATAAAATGACTATATTGAGATAAACAAATATGAGAAGAATTATGTAACAAATATTTAGAAATGAAATAGGGATTGAAGCTAAAATATATGGAAAATAGATTACATTAAAAGAAATATAGCAATGGATATAATGAACCAATTTTTTATAAAGATGTTAAAAGATACTATTTGAGGAAATTGATGGTTATAATAACTGGGATATTGGTTAAACACCTATAACAATTGCTTTAATTTGAATATTTTTAATAATATAACTATAAAAGTAAAGGATGATTATGTTGGGAGTAACAGTGAGAAAAATAAAGATAATTATATTGGGATTAACAGTAAATAAAATGATTACACTGAGATTAACAGTGAAAAAAATAAAGATGATTACACTGGGATTAACAGTGGAATAAAGATGATTATACTGGGATTAACAGTGAGAAAAATAAAGATGATTACACTGGGTTTAGCAGTGGAATAAAGATGTATTTTGTACATTGGGATTAATAGTGGAAGGATAAAAGAAAAGGTTAAATTAGAAAATTGATAGCTATAATAATTGGGATATTGTTTAAATATGTATAACAATTATGATAATTTGAGCATTTATTACCTAAGTGAAAAAGAAAAGAAAACTGAAACAATATATGATTATGATTTATAAACAAAAATTACTTAATTGGTGTTATTTAAATGGTATGGTTTGATAGATACAATTTAGGATAATTGGGAAATTGTGTTAAAAAACATTATTTGAACTAAGAACTATGTTTAAATGTTAAATTGATATATTTCTAAAATTAAAAATATAAGATTTAAATTTGATAAGGTAATAATGGAATAAAGATTTAATGAGCATAATGATATATAAATATGTTTGAATTGTATTGTTAATAGTGAGGATTTAGGATAAGAATTGTTGTATTTGTGTTATTAATTGAATTAAGAATTAAGATGGGTTAATAGAAGGGTAATTGTTTTGATTAAGTAAATATGTGTTAATTTTTTAAAGATGGTATTAGTTGAATATGTGATATAAGATTTAGAAATTTACTATTTTCTATGGCAAAATAGTATAGATAAAATTTTGTTAAGGACTTTATTAAAAAATGAACGAAGTGATGATCGGATCAAAGCTCTGTTCCGAAAGGATGCAATTTATATGTTTGAAAAAAAAAATAAAAAAACTTTAGCAAAAAACCCCAATAATAACAGTAATGCTCTTGATTTTTTTTTCTATTCTTCAGATGAGTATCAAATTATCCACTATGAACTTTGTTGTGTTTGTGAATATGAACATTCATTTGATTTTATCCTAAAATGTCTCCACTACTCCACTCCACTCCATTCCACTCCACTCTCTTTCCTTAATTAGATGTAACAGTGGAAAGTGAAATTGCAATAGCACTTAGAATACCAAAGTATTAGTAATATTGTACCATAATAATTTTTACTTTGTTATTTTTTTCATTTTAAAGCATTTGTTACACACTTTTATTTGATAATTTACTGATTTCTACCATGATTATCTTTCTGTTTTGTTCTTTTTTCAGTTTTTTGTTATTATTTTAAAGATAATAAATATATTATAGCCCATTGCACAGCCAGCCAGATGTTTACACTGGATTTGGCATTTATCAAGTGCTTTCCAAGATCCTAGGCTGTGGATATTGGTGTTACAGATACAGTTTACATCCTATGACAATATCTGTAACCATAAAATATCCACATCTGCCATTCCCAGGTCATTAGAAAGGGTTAGATAGACAAAAATACCAAAACCAGTTGAACTTCTGGTTGACTGTCTAATCGAGCCTAACAATGATAACACAATAACCACAGAAAATGACACAGAAAAATTATATGTTTAAATTCCAGATATGCATGTTTGTTCAGAATGTCCAGAGGATCAACATCCAAGCAAAGAGAGGGATTCATGTCTTGCCAAGAAAATATCTTTCTTATCCTATGAAGAACCAATAGGAATAGGTCTACTTATTGTGGCACTTCTTTTTTCTTTCTGCACAGTTGGTGTGCTGGCAATATTTCTGAAGTATCACCATACTCCCATCATCAAGGCTAATAACCGAAATCTCACCTACATTCTACTCATTTCTGTCCTCCTCTGCTTCCTTTGCTCACTGCAGTTTCTCATTGTACCAGGCAATATAATATGTCTCCTTCGACAAATTAGCTTTGGCATCATCTTCTCAGTGGCTGTGTCTTCTGTGTTGGCAAAATCCATCACTGTGGTTCTGGCTTTCATGGCCACCAAGCCAGGATCCAAGGTGAGGAAGTGGGTGGGAAAACGGTTAGCCATATCCATTGTTGTTTCTTGTTCCCTGATTCAAGCAGCAATCTGCATTGTGTGGCTGTTCACATTCCCCCCTTTTCCCAATGTTGACATCCATTCAAATATTGAGGAAATGATACTGCAGTGCAATGAAGGCTCAGATATTATGTTCTACTGTGTCCTGGGCTATATGGGCTTACTGGCAGCTGCTAGTTTCACAGTAGCATTTTTCTCCAGGAATCTCCCGAGCAGTTTCAATGAGGCCAAATGCCTCACATTCAGTATGCTGATCTTTTGCAGTGTGTGGATCTCCTTTGTTCCATCTTACCTGAGCACCAAAGGCAAATACATGGTGGCTGTGGAGGTTTTCTCCATTTTGGCTTCCAGTGCTGGGTTGCTGGGCTGCCTATATTTCCCCAAATGTTACATAATTATTGTTAGGCCAGAGCTAAACAATAGGGAACAACTTATTAAGCGAAAAAGATAGTAATATGTGCACAAAATATTTCTTTTCAACATTTTTCTTATTTTAAATCTATAATACATTAATCAAAATAGGATACTTTTTTTTTTTAATTTGATTTATATGCCGCCCTTCTCCGGATACTCAGGGCGGCTTACAATGCGTTAAGCAATAGCCTTCATACTTTTGTATATTTAAACAAAGTCAGCTTATTGCCCCCACAAACTGGGTCCTCATTTAACCTACCTTAGAAAGAATGGAAGGCTGAGTCAACCTTGAGCCTGGTAAGATTCGAACCTGCAGAAATTGCAGGCAGCTGTGTTAATAACAGGGTGCATTAAACCACTGTACTTGTTTTACTTAGTGAAATATGTATTCATTAAATGGAATAGATTTAGGAACTGATCTGTCTTCACTCATAGGTAGAGTATGAAATGATTTGTAGAATAGTATTTTTACATGTTAGGTTATATTTGAATAAATGTCACTAACATTACTGGAAATCGCCAATAAATTTGAGTAGACTTTTTAATAAAGCTAGTTAATGCAAACTCATATTTTTTATTATTATTTTCCAAGTTTACTAATGTGAACCTTTTCCAGTTATTGTGAAAGTAAAGCTTTCTCAGTGTTGGTGAATTGCAAAACACATTGAATTATTTTATATAAAAATATGAAAAGTGTTTTGATTTTTGAGCTTAAGTTTTCCACATCATTCTTACAACTGATAATTGATTCAAACAATGGCAGATATTTCTAAGTTCATATGATAAGAGAAAAAACCAAGAATTAGATATAAGCTACTGCAAGATGCTAAGGAAAGAGGGGGTTTGTTTACCAGATATGAAACTATATTTTGAAGCATGCTGTCTGACTGGTCAAAAGAATGGGTGAGCCTTCAGAATAAGACGTTACTTGAATTAGAGGGCCATGAATTAAGGTTTGGATGGCACGGCTACTTATGGTATGATAAAAGTAAAGTTAATGTTGAATTTAACAATCATTTTATTAGATGTGCCATACTAAGAGTTTGGAATAAATATAAAACAAGGCTCTCTGTGAAGCTGCCCTTTGGGTGTAAACCCAGGAAGCCTTTTTTAGAAAAGAAATGGTGGCAAAGCCACACTGGTTGACATATGGTAAAATTTTATCTCTCAACTCTGGTGACCCAATATTAAAGCCGAGCAAAGAACTTGAATCAGAAGGTTATGGTTGCCACTGGTTTACTTAGCAAAAACTGAGAGAAAGATTTAAACTGGATAAAAAGTGCTACGGATTTCCCTTTGTTAAAAATGAATTGGAAATTTCATTATGTGGCAATGATGAACATATTGCTAAGATCTATAAAATGTTATTGAAATTGAATTTGGAAAATGAATATGTAAAACATTGTATGATTCAGTGGGCAAGGAATTTTGGATATAATGTGATGCTTGAACAATGGGAAAATATGTGGATGAAGGATTTAAATTTATATTAAATTATAATCTAAAAGAAAATTTCTATAAGATGATGTATCATTGGTATTTAACACCAGATAAACTATCTAAGATATGTAAAGGTATGTCAAATGAATGTTGTAAGTGTAAAAGTACAGAAGGGACATTTTATCATCTATAGGGGACATGCGATAAGGCAAAAAATAATTGGAATATGATTCACATTTTAATACAAAAAAAATTGAAAATGAAAATAAAGGTGAAACCAGAATTCTTCCTTTTGGGTCTTATGGAAAAAGAACTGGAGAAAATATGTTGACCACAGCAAGTCTATTGTATGCACAAAAATGGAAGGACACTTCAATTTCTAACATGGACAAATGGTTGCAGAAGTTGATGGAGTTGGCTGAAATGGCAAAATTGAGTCTTTTGATTAAAGAAAAAAATATAAGTACTTTTATTTCCACATGGAGAAGGCTTCTGAACTTTGTGCTTGAAGTGGAAAAGAATGAAACTTTGATTTTGGGTTTTACCAAGTAGATCGATAGATCTTTATAGAAATGGCTTCTTCATATTATTATGAAAAAACGAAAAGTTGTGATTTGATGTTAATGCCTTATTCTACTGCAACAGAGTTGGAAACCAATGTTTCTTTTTCTTTTTTTTTTCTTATCCTTCTCTTCCCCCTCTCCCTCCCCACCATTTTCTATTTACAGTAGTTTCATATTTTGTATGTTATTTTATTTTATAACCCAATAAAAATGTTAAACATAAAAACATATAAAAGTTCTCCACATCTTTGTGAATATATAAATTTTAAAAGAGAAAAATAATAAATAAATAAATAAATAAAAGAAGCTGCTTGGAGACAGCTTTTAATGTATATCAGAGGTGTTTTTAATGTATATCAGAAGTGCTATTCAGCAAGTTCTGACCAGTTCTGGAGAACCGGTGGTGGAAATTTTGAAAAGTTCGGATAACCAGTAAATACCACCACTGACTGGCCCCTGAAAGGAAATAATTTTGCAGTAATCTTCCCCTGGAGTGGGGTGGGAATGGAGATTTTACAGTATCCTTCCCCTGCCATGCCCACCAAGCACACTCACCAAGCCACGCCTACAGAACTGGTAGTAAAAAAATTTGAATCCCACCAATGATGTATATGTATACTGTATATAGTTAATTATTTTAATTTTAGTGGTTAAAAATGAATGCAAACTAAATTTAGATCAAAAAGGGCTTCTGAGGGAAGAAATGGCAAACTGAAGATGGGTCCACAAAAAACAGACCCAATGAACTGTGGTGAAGGACATTCTTTGAATCTGGATAAAAGAGTAATTGGGAAGATGGCTGCTGTATGACAGCCTTTTTTAATGAGCTCCTTATCCTCCTGTAACAGCTACTTTTATATGGCTGACAATAGTTTATTTTTATTTAATAATATCTATAAATTAGTTAAGTTAGTTTTTTTTAAAAAAAATTAGGAGCAGTAATTTTAGGTTTTTAGATTTAGGATTACATAGGATTTAGGTTTTAAATTATGAGTTCCGGAACTTATCTGCACGTCGATGCTGTGGGAGTATATTTTAATTTTTTTCTTTTTTTAAAACCACCCAAGGACGCAAAAACAAAGGCCAGCAGCAAAAACAAAATGGGTCTTGAAAAGAAAACTTAAAAGGAGATATAAATTGGAATCATAGTTGGGAGGAAACTCCAAACTCAGACAACCAAAGATAAAGGACTTATTTTAAATAATGGATTCTGCAAGTAAGTCTCTTTTTTTTGCTCTTTCCCCACCTCATAACCTCTGTAAATAAGCCCTGTTCCTTGCCCTGAGTGGGAGAAGGATGACTATTTTTCGCTGGAAACTGAAGGTCCATTAAGAGACAGAGAGGAGAACAAGGATAATATTTAGAGCAATTTTAAAGGAGGCTTGGATTTGGTTGCCAAGAATTGCCCACTGACAGCACAAACAGTTATTGCTATATTTGATCAGCTCTTGGAAGCAAACAAAAAGATTGAAGAATTAAAGTCTCTAATGGGAAACTATATCACTAAATTAGATAAGGAAGCAAATAGCAAAGCCCATGCTTCAAAACGTACTCTTAATTCACAGATAGCTCAAGTGGTCTGGGAGCTTCAAGATGAAGAAGTCCTACAGAGACACAGGATTTTACTCCAAGTTGATGATATTTCTTTGAACAGGGGCAGGTGGCAACAGTTGAATAATACTGAACTCTGGATAAAAGATGATGGAAAATCGGTTCAAACAATTGATCTTCATGAGGTGACCGAGAGACAAAAGGTGTCTGGTGGTTTTGATTGCTGAGAGATGAGAAAATAGCCATCTTGCTCACACTGTTCTCAGGACCTTTAAAATGGGCACTAAGTTCACATACTTCTTTTCCTAAGAATATTCAGAAATTGCTTGATAATTATGCATCATGTATTAGAGACTTGTGGATTTACAAATTCAGAATACAAGAATAACCTGATAAAAGGTCTCATTTGATATACAAAAGAAATTAACAAATTAAGAGAATGTGAAAACTTTTTAACATTGTTTACATTTATTTTAATGAAGGTTGTAATTCACTTCTTTGTTTATTTTAACTTACTTTTCTATTCTCTACATTTCTATTTGGTATTTTTTTTCTTTCTACTCTTCTTTTTTAATGTATATTAGTATTTACTATTGTAATTATAGTAAAAAGTAAAAAAGAAAAGAAAAAAGAAAACGAAAGAAATCACCATTAGTTGTTTTTGTAAAATGATCACTTATATTTTTCTGAGTTACTTTTGTAGTTATTTCCAAAAATTTATAGTAAAAGTAAAAATTCCTAATTTGAATTCTTAATCCAGTTATTTAGCTTTTTGCTGTTTATTTCAAATCCTTTAAACTCTTCAGTTAGTAATTAATTTTCTTTTGTTCAGTGCTGAAAATAAAATCACACAATGAAGACTTTTCAAATCTGTCATTCTGAAGATCTCTAACAGTTTTAGAGTGAATAATAGACAATTTCTAAATGTGATTAGAAAAGGAGTTTTGCAAACTTAGTGTCCTTTGAAAGTCATTACAGTTGCAAACAAGATAGCTGATTCCATCCTTCCACTGCTCAAACCATGGAAAAAGAGTTAATGGCTCAGAAGCAGACATCTAACCTGTCAATTTAGTAAATCCATTTTTATAAGAGCTTTCTTAATTTAATATATGATCTTCTTACAACTTACAACTAACATTGGGGAAAAAAATGATTATTAAGGAATGTGGTTGTTAAGTGAATTATCATGTGATCAATTTTACAACCATTTTTCCTGTGATGTTAAGAAAATTAGGTGGTTATTAAGTGAATCCCATGGTTGTTAAACGAACCTTGCTTTCCCAATTGATTTTGTTTGTCAGAAGCCAGCTGAGAAGGTTGCAAATCACAATCACATGCCCAAACTGTTATAAATGCAGTCAATGATCACATGACTCTGTGGGTGATCCAATGGTCTTAACTTTGAAGACAGATTGTTAGTCACTTTTTCCAAGGTTGTCATAATTCTGAATTGTTGTTAAGCAGAGGGTTGTAAGTTAAATACTACCTGTATAAATTTGTTCCTGGAACCTGTGTTCACTATGACTAGAGTGCCTATGTGTCTCTTATTACGAAGAATGTTCTTTATTTTAGAAAGCAGTGCATTAAATTTATTTTTCAAGAACTCAGTTTTTCTCTTTATTTAACTTTTACCATATATTTATCATTTAATTCATAGTCTTTCACATTCATGTAAAACTGAATTATCTTTTTAATGCACGGTATATGATATACTCTTTGATTTTAGATATTTTTATTAGAGTATGTATTTTTGCAAAGTTTTTTATTGGTTTTGCTCTTTAATTTTCCTTTGTAATGAAAAATCATAAACATAAACAATTTTAAAAATATGACCCTATTTTAGATTTGCCTCAGTTTCAAGTTTGGCCATTATTTTTTCCAAGAAAATATGATCACCATAACTGTGACGTGAATTCTTTAATATAAAACCTTTCACATCTGGTTTGACCCAGCCTCCATTATTTCACTAACAACTATGACTCTTGGAGGATTTAAGTTTTAATTTATGAATTATGAGGAAGTAGACAAGCTAAATTTGGAAGCCTTGCCAAATGTAACTAATATCCATGGCAACCTCAAATAGATTGAGATTGACCAAGGATATTTGCTTCTAATCCAAATATCCATTACTAACTTCTGTCTGGGCTACTGCAATACCCTTATGTAGGGCTTCCTTGATATATAAGGTGGAAACTTTAAAATCTGATAACAATTTTTTCCTCTGAGGTTATTTGGAGAGAACAGTATTTTGGTGTTTGATAGACAGTTACTCTGCCTGATTATTATAGTTTTCTATACAGGGATGCAAATATTTTATTTATATATTTTGCATGTTGTCAAATGGCATTTACCTTTATTATCTGGTGAAAAATTATGTGACTCATTCCAACCTTGCTGTTTCATTAATGTAAATATTGTGTTTAGAACTTAAAACATATTCTTAATTCCACAGAGATATTAAAATGTAAAGATCGCAATTTTGTCTCCCTCTTATAATTATCAAAAAGACTATTATTAATTTTGCTGCTTCTCAAAGGCAAGATTACCAATTTATTTATACAAAGAACGTAGAGGTGGGTGGAAAGTTTAAATATTTCATGTGTTTTTTAAAATAATGTTCTTTATGTGTGGGTAAGATCACTATCAATGTAGTCTCTGAACCAATTTTATTCTAAGGTTCAGAACAGAATATGGGAGTTATGTGAAGAACACAGAATGAATCAGTTCAAATTATTTCTATTGAAGGCTGAAGCATTTTATGGAAATGAGAGAAACTGAAATTAATATTTAACATGATTGTATTGCATCTGCTGTTACTTTTCTTGCTACATATGACTTGCCAGGGTGAAATAATAAAATGCAGAATCAGAAATCCTATCCCGATTGTTCATAATTATTTTCAACCAGGTGACTTAATCATTGGTGGCATTAGTTCTTTTATCTTCGTGCCTAAAGATGTACAAAACTTTGAAGAAGATCCTCATCATTCAACTGTTGGTGAACCCCTGTAAGAGATGATGATGATGATGATGATGATGATGATGATGATGATGATGATGATAATGGCTATATTACACTAGATGACATATTATGATGGTTCATGTTATGAATCACAAATAGCTGTATTGATGCAGAAACAGTATTGATACTGTTCAAATAATTATATCTTTGTGCTCTATAAAGAAAACCCACAACTATAATGCGTATTCCTTAAATCAGTAATATAGATATATTATAATTTGTTTCAGTGAGAAGTACAAGAAAACACTCTTGGAGTGGGTGGGTGATATCTTCTTAATGTTACTTAGTAAAATCTGCATTCTTTTCCTCCTAAATTTTCCTTCTAGCAAGTTTTAACATTTAAATTTAGCATATTTATGAAGAGTTATTTATTCAGCTTGACATACTTGTGATGCTGTAAATTTCAGTGCTACTGTGACTTCAGCAAGATATATATAATCTTGGAGGAAATGATAAAGGTAAAGGTGAAGGTTTCTCCTATCTTGTTTCTCCAGTTGAAAAGGTTTCTCCAACTCTAGGGGGCAATGCTCATCTGTATTTCTTAGCTGAAGGAACCAGTATTGTATGGAGACATTTCTGTGCTCATCTGGCTAGCATGGCTATACAACAAGGCACATGGAATGGGTACCACCAAAGTGGTACCTATTTATCTACTACCATTTCCGTGCTTTTGAACTGCTAGATGGGAAGGAGCTAGAGCAAGTAATGGGAACTCACCCTGTCATGCGACACTTGGGTCTTGAATCCAAGCTGTCAGCTTTCCAGCTGTCAAGCTCAGCATCTTTAATCACTAAGCCATCATGCTTCCAGTGGAGAATCTAAAGAAGGCTAAATTCAAAATACTCCCCGACTTTTTTCCCCCAATTCATTCATTAAAATGAAGCCTTCTCCAGGAAAATAAAAAGTAACTAATCCAATTGTATTCCTCAATATGTATTTTACAATATATATGTATTTTACATGCAGAGCAATCACTGTGTTCAGTTTCACATATGCAAAATTTCTTTAAAATATAGTGAACTGCACCAAAAAAACCCCAAGAAAGTCCAGTTGCCTCCTGAAAAAGAACCTTTGGGACAACCATGACCTGGATTGCTGAGAATCTCTATAAACGGAACACAAGAAAGTTCAGTGATTATTCCATTGAAAACAATATCTAAACTGAATGGCAATCCATTAATTAGTTTACATGAAAGAGTGATTATTGCTGTCTAAGACACAATTTTGAAGAAAGTGAGTTTCACTGCCTTTTTTAGCTTTAGAATTTCATTTGATGTAGCATCTAATTCCCATTGCAGAATCCTTACAAAGTATTATCAGCATATTTTGGCCTTGATATTTGCTGTGAAGAAGATCAATGAAGACCTCCAGCTATTATCTAACATCACCTTGGGCTTCAGAATCTATGAGACTTATGGTGGAGAATACACATATCATGCCACAATGGAACTTTTCTCCAGTCAGAACCAATTTATTCCCAACTACAAGTGTGACATCATGAACAAACTCATATCAGTTGTTGGGGCTATCGAGCCTGCAATATCTTTCGATATGGCAGATATTTTAGGCATGTACAAAGTTTCACAGGTAAGATGCATTAATGATAAATTGTCTAAACTTTGCTTTGTATATTCAGGAGGGGGGATTTCAAGACCTTTATACATACATACATACATACATACATACATACATACATACATACATATATATGTATATATCTGTAAAGTATATTTAATAATATGTATTTATGAAGCATAAATCAATGTGAATTCAGTTTCAGATAGATCAGTTTCAAAAGTTAACCATTAGTAAGCCCTGAAATTTGGATTTCTGTAGTTCTCCCTTGCAAGTTGGAAAAAAACCTCAATATTTTTGTAATCAATCTTGAGTAAATCATAGACTGGCAGAAGAAACCTAAACATCACAATTAATCAGGATAAAAATAATTATATATTTGTTCTTTAAAAAATCTAAAAAGAATTAAAACAGACGCTGTGGCATACTGTACAAACTTTAAAACTATTTAATTGTGGTAAAGGGAATAAAATCAGATTGATCTGATAATATCGATTTAAGATTAAAACAATTCAGAACCACCAGGTTATTTAATAAAGAATGGAGATTCCTGGTAAATATCTGCTAAAATGGGGCAATAGAGAATAATATATTCCATTATTACTGTATTCCTCCATCCCATGGACAAAAAGGGTGTTTTGGTATATCTTTCAGTAATGGTTGTTGGGAGGGCATTGAATCAGGATAAGGATAAAGCCCTACTAAATTTTGGGATTCTCATCTCTCTGCCAGTTTGGAATTTTTAGTGTTCCAAACTTACTAGAAAATAATGAACACAAGAGTATTTTTCCAATGTATAATTCAATCTTTGTATATAATCTCATAAAACTTGCTGTGTTGTTTGTGTAGTTGCTTTTTTTAAAAAATGATGTAGTTATTTATTATTATGCTATATTTTCTTGGGCCATATGAGGAAGGAAGGAAGGAAGGAAGGAAGGAAGGAAGGAAGGAAGGAAGGAAAGGAGCCAAGCCTAAATTGTGAAACTTTTATGAAGTTTAGGAACTTCATAAAAGCAAGTTCTGAAGATAATACTAAAGCAAGAAAGCACATTGTTTGATCTTTCTTCCACATTAGAAAGATTCATACAGAAATTGTTCATGAATGCAGACAAATTTGACAAAATGATTCTATATTGTTAAAAAAAAATTCTTTCACAGAAACATTATTTCCACTATAGAAGAAAGAGAAATATCCAGTTTAAGTGAAAAAGTGATTAGAATTCACAAAATTGTACAATTGTGCAGTAGTAAGGGAGCACAAGTACCAGCTAGTCCAACTCTGATTTCAGAAGTATATTGTGCACAAAATAATGAAATATTTCAGAATTTCTTATATTTAAGAATAGAAGGAACACATTTTCTTTTGTTAGACGATTTCTTCTCTTTTTCATATTCCTATCTAATTTTTATTTCTATAGTTCCTATACGGTCCTACCCCAAGTATGGATGGTAAAACTGATATCCCTTTCTACTACCATATGGTTCCAGATGAGAAGTTCAGTTTTAGGGGAATTCTTCAAATACTTTTGCACTTCCAGTGGACTTGGGTCGGGATCCTAGTAAAGGGACACGGTGGACCAAATTTTGAGAAATTAATTTTTTCAGAGTTTTCTGTCAATGGCATCTGCATTGCCTTCTTAGAGCAACTCAGGCCAATTTATATTAACAGCGTGTCTGATGGCCTGAAATGGCTTGTGGAAACCTTCTATATTTTTATTAACAGCAAAGCTAATGCTGTGATAATCAATGATAACTATGTTCTACATTTGAGATGGTTGTTATATGTACCTGAAATGGAATCAATATCTATAAAGCCTAAAGGTAAGGTGTGGATTGTGACCAATCAAATGGGCCTTGCCTCATTCTTTTATCAAAGGACCTGGGATATCCAAAACCTCCAAGGCGCTCTGTCCTTTGTGACTTCTTCAAATGAAGTTGAAGGATTTCAGCATTTTCTTCAGACAAGAAACCATTCTTTATTCTCTCACCAAGATGGTTTCATAAAAGATGTTTGGGAGCATGCATTTGGCTGTGTATTTTCAAAATCTTCTTTGAATGAGGAAATTGAAGGTGTCTGCAGTGGGAAGGAGAAACTGGAGACCCTTCCTGGGGCTTTTTTTGAAATGAAGATGACCAGTCATAGTTACAGTATATACAATGCAGTGTATGCTGTGGCACATGCTTTACATGCCATGCAGTTGGGCCAACAACCACACAGGAGAATATTGAGTGGCAGGACACTGCATCTCCATGATCCACAGCCATCACAGGTAACTTTGTAAAAAGTTGAAATTGTTAGGACTTAATTTCCACTGACATTGAATGTAAACAGATACCTGTTGACTTTTACAAATGGTTATATTTATCTTTTGTTATTTGGTGAGCAAACAAAAAAATCAAGGTACATGTAAGTGTCACTTGGGAGTAAGATACGTACTGGGAACCCTCAGATTAGAGCTTCCTGAGGAAATGGGTATTAATGTCCAGCAGAAAATATGAATACAGCAAAAAGGAAAGGATTTATATCAGTCTAGAGTGTCCTGTATATCACATCCCAGTGGGGCATCAGAGAGAGGGAAAATTGCTCTATAATAAGATAAGAAGCATTCTATAGGATGTACTACTAATAAGTAGATACTTGGAAGAAGCTGTCACCACTGCCACCTACATGCAAAAGGATCCTAACAAATGTTATAGATTGAAAGCCAAGCAATTTGTGGCATGGGAGGAGGTACTTTAGATCAGGGCCTTTCAACCCCAGGTCTGGGGACTGGCATTCCCGAAACTGGGCCACACAAACAAGCAAAGCTTCATCCACGGAAAGCAGGCAGCACACAAAACCACAATCCCTTTTGTCCACGGAAAAACTGTCCCCATGGAAGTGGTCCCTGGTGCCCAAAATGTCAGGGGCTACTGCTCTAGAGTGCTAAATTCTAAGGTTAATGCCATACAAAGGGAACCAAAATGAATTGGTCATTAAGGTGGTTGGATACTCACAGTACTATAAGTCTCTGCATGAATTCTTAAAATATATTGCAGTTTTATTAATATATAAGGAAAAAAAGGACTGTAACTTTAAAGTCTCAAATCATATTTCTGATGTCCCAATGAACAAAGAAGCTTTGAAAATGATTTTCATAGTGTACCCAGAATTTGACAGCAAGTCAAAGTCTGAAGGAAATTGATTACTGAACTCTTGGCTGGATTAAGTCCTGGTTTGAACCAAAGGAATACATACAGTATCAACTGCTCCTATATATTAATTGTAGTCATATTTTAAAAAAAATATTTGCATATTTTTTCTATATTCAGCTTCACTTCTTTTTGAAAAGGCTCTCATTTAACAATAATGTTGGACATAAAATTTCTTTTGACCAAAACGGAGAATTGATTTCAGGACTGGATATTGAGAATTGGATTACTTTCCCCAACCAGTCCTTTCATCGAGTGAAAGTTGGGAAACTGGATCCCTGGGCTAATGAAGACCAAATGTTCACCATCCATGAGGAAGCCATCACTTGGCACAGGACTTTCAACCAAGTAGGTTCTGAATGTAGATAATTTTGCTAGAATATGAGATGATATCCAAATAATAGCCATATTTAATTTAACACAGAAATAATATTGTAGACTTACAGTATTCTATTAATTAATGTGCATCTAGAAATGGGAATAATGTGTATATATATATATATGAGAATATTTGTAACTCAGGGATGAAATGAGAAATTCTTGATACTCTCTGATCTTACTTGTTTTCCTGCAGATGTTTCATTACCCAACTATATAATATCATCGCTTTTATTTTCATACATACATTATTGTATATACCTAATTTACATTATTGTAATAGATAGTGTAATTTGTATATACCCAATTTATTTTAGTGTTGCTACTATTGATTGAAAATACATGCTAGATACATTTGTATCTGATAGCAAATTATTTTGCAAAGTTTTATATACTCAATGCATTTTACTTCTTAGGTTAGACGTACAAAAGATGCAGAGCAAAAAATATGTTCACTATCTTAATTTTTATTTCTTATGATTATGAGTATGCAAAGTTTAGAGGAATTGTCTGATCTGATTGAACCTAATTTCTGAAATAGAAAAAAATCACAATGAATTCATTAATTTTGTTTATAATGTTCATATTATCCAAAAATAAGAAATGTCTGGAGGTTTGGATGAGTTCCACTGAAATATGTATAGAATTGATGCATGATCTGAATTTAAAATTTTTCACAAAGTAACCAGGTTATTTAAACAAATTGTTAATCAGCAGATATAATCCAATCCTGCATAGTTTTGATGTTTATGATTATGAAGAACAATAAAATATCCTATATTTCCTAAATATCAGTTCATCATGGTTTTATATTTTTTTAAAATATTGGATTGAATGCTAATATTTTATTTCTTATTTTATTTATTGGGCAGACATTACCTATTTCAGTGTGTACTGAGAGCTGCCGCCCTGGTTATTTCAGGAAAAAACAAGAGGGGAAGCCATTTTGCTGCTATGATTGCCTTCCATGCCCTGAAGAGAAAATTTCAAAACAGAAGGGTAATAGATATATGAAAGCAATTAATCTTATGGTTATGAAGTACATAGCAGGCAGATCCATAGACTATAAGTATTCAAACTACATTGTAGACTTCCATTTTTCACCAGAATATCAGTAGAATAAGGAATTCCCCATTGTTTGAAAGGGAGTCTTAAAAGTAAAGAGTTAAGGATTTAAAATCTGATGGGATTACATTACTTGGGGAGCTCTGGAGTTACATGAGAATTCTTTTCTTATGTAAATATCCATGCCACATCAACATGACAATGACATAAATTACATATTCTACAACACATTTGCTTGTTTATTGATATATTTAATATATATACCACTTTCCATTAAAAAAAGAACAAAACCACCTTGATGTGATTTACATATGTGTGTGTGTGTGTGTGCATGTAAAATTAATAGATTTAATTGAAAAAAAAAATAAAGTCTTAAGAATTACTTTTTCTAACATATATCACTCTATCTTTCACAAATCAATATCACATAGTTGAGAAACTTTCAGATTGGTTGATTCAGATGGTCTTCAAATTACAATATTCATAGGTACAAAGTTTTTCACAACATTGCAGCATTCAATGGTCACATGATCAAAATTCAGATGCTAGACAATTATACATATTTATGATGATTGCAGTGTTCCGGGGTCTTGTGGTCACCTTCTGAGACCTTCTGACAAGCAAAGTCAGTGGAGAAGCCAAATTTCCTTAACAACCATGTTACTAATTTAACATCTGCAGTGATTCACTTAATAATTGTGGCAAGAAAGATTGTAAAATTAGGTAAAATTCACATAATAATAATAATAATAATAATAATAATAATAATAATAATAATAATTTTATTTCTATACCGCCCTTCTGCCGAAGGACTCAGGGCGGTGTACAGCCTATTAAAAACAGAAAGACAAACAACAATTAAAATAATTTAAAATTATTAAATAATTTCAGCTCAATATTAAAACCCAAAAAAATTTAAAACATCCAATTTAAAATCATTACATTGATAGCCCGGCCTGGCAGAACAGCAGGGTCTTAAGGGCACAGAGAAATACCCTGAGGTTGGAGATCTTACGCATTTCTGGGGGCAGTTCATTCCACAGGGCTGGGTCTCCCCACTTAACAACTGTCTTGCTTAGAATAGAAATGTTGGGCTCAGTTGTAGTCGTAAATCAAGGACTACCTATATATGGATAATGTACGGAATGCTGCCTGGGAAATTCTGGGCACTGAAATCCATATATTCTAAAGTTGCCAACTTTGAAAATAAGTGAAATAATGGGTAAAGGTAAATCTTTTATTATTTTTCCTTAAAATAAAAGGTATTTATGAACACAAATATTCATTAGAAAATGAACAAACTTAGATATAAATGAAGTGAAAACAACACAATTTATTTCTATTAAAAATATTAATTAGAGGATCCTGTGCAAACTTTTACTCCATAAAAACATGATACAACAACAAAACCAAATGTATATTGTATATGCATATTTATATTACAGACATGGATGGCTGCTCCAAATGCCCAGAAGATAAATATCCAAATAAGGACCAAGATTCATGTCTTCCCAAAAAAATATCTTTTCTGTCCTATGAAGAACCAATGGGAATAGGTTTAGTCATTCTGGCACTTGTCTTTGTTCTCTGCACTATTGTGGTAATGGCAATATTTTTGAAGTATCATCATACTCCCATCGTCAAGGCCAATAACCAAAACCTCACCTACATTCTACTTGTCTCCCTCCTCCTCTGTTTCCTTTGTTCACTGCAGTTCCTCATTGCACCTGGCAATATAATATGTCTCTTCAGACAAATCAGCTTTGGCATCATCTTCTCAGTGGCTGTGTCTTCTGTGCTAGCAAAAACCATCACTGTGGTTTTGGCTTTCATGGCCACCAAGCCAGGATCCAGGATGAGGAAATGGGTGGGAAGAAGATTGGCCACCTTCATTATTCTTTTTTGTTCCTTGTTTCAAACAGGCATCTGCATGATCTGGTTGCTCACATTTCCTCCTTTTCCTGACATTGATACTCATTCAGAAATTGAGGAAATGATAATGCAGTGCAATGAAGGCTCAGCTGTCATGTTCTACTGTGTCCTGGGCTTCATGGGCTTTCTGGCAGCTGCCAGTTTCACAGTAGCGTTTTTCTCCAGGAATCTCCCCAGCAGTTTCAATGAGGCCAAATGTCTCACTTTCAGCATGCTGATCTTCTGCAGTGTTTGGATTTCCTTTGTTCCATCCTACCTGAGCACCAAAGGCAAATACATGGTGGCTGTGGAGGTTTTCTCTATTTTGGCTTCCAGTGCTGGATTGCTGGGCTGCATATATTTCCCCAAATGTTACATAATTATTTTTAAGCCAGAGCTAAACAACAGGGAACAACTTATTAAGAGAAACTCTTAATAAATGAAACCTTTCTTTCATTTTTTTCTTCCCCTTTGAAATCTTTAGTAACTTATTCAGTTGTTGTTGCAAAGTCATGTCCGACCCATTGTGACCCCATGGACAACATTCCTCCAGGCCTTCCTCTCCTCTACCATCCTCTGGAGTCCATTTAACCTCACGCCTACTGCTTCAGTGACTCCATCCAGCCACTTCATTCTCTGTCGTCCCCTTCTTCTTTTGCCCTTAATCTTTCCCAGCATTAGGCTCTTCTCCAGTGAGTCCTTCCTTCTCATTAGGTGGCCAAAATATTTGAGTTTCATCTTCAGGATCTGGCCTTTAAAGAGCAGTCAGGATTGATCTCCTCTAGGACTGACCAGTTTGATTGCCTTGCAGTCCAAGGGACTCACAGGAGTCTTTTCCAGCACCATAGTTCAAAGGTCTCAATTCTTTGGTATTCAGACTTTCATATGGTCCACGTTTCACAGCCATACATTGCAACTGGGAACATCATAGCCTTGAGTATACGCACTTTTGTTGGCAGGGTGATTTCTCTGCTTTTTAGTATGCTGTTTAGATTTGCCATAGCTTTCCTCCCCAGGGTCAAGGGTGTTTTAATTTCTTGGCTGCAGTCCCCATCTGCAGTGATCCTGGAGCCCAGGAAAATAAAATCTGTCACTACCTCCATTTCTTCCCCATTTATTTGCCAGGAATTGAGAGGGCCGGATGTCATGATCTTAGTTTTCTTAATATTGATTTTCAAGCCAACTTTTGCACTCTCCTTCTTCACCCTCCTCAAGAGGCTCTTTAGTTCCTCTTTGCTTTCTGCCATTAGAGTGTATCATCTGCATATCTGAGGTTGTTGATATTTCTCCCGGCAATCTTAATTCCAACTTTTGATTCATCTAGGCCCACCTTTCTCATGATGTGCTCTGCATATAAGTTAAATAGGTAGGGTAGCAGTATACAGCCTTGCCAGACTCCTTTCCCAATTTTGAACCGATCAGTGGTTCGGTGTCCAGTTCTCACTGTTGCTTCTTGACCCGCATATAGGTTTTTCAAGAGACAAATAAGATGGTCTGGTACTCCCATCTCTTTAAGAACTTGCCACAATTTGTTGTGATCCACACAATCAGGTACTCTGTCTATCAGATCTAATTCCTTAAATCTATTTGTCACCTCTACTGTATATTCATCAGGGATAGGTTTAGTTCATACCTGAGTGGCCTAGTGCTTTCCCCTAGTTTCTTCAATTTAAGTCTAAATTTTGCAATGAGAAGCTCATGCTCTGAGCCACAGTCAGTTCCTGGTCTTGTTTTTACTGACTGTATAGAGCTTCTCCATCTTTGGCTGAAGAGCACATAGTCAATCTGATTTCTGTTTTGACCGTCTGGTGATATCCATGTGTAGAGTCATCTCTTGGGTTGTTGGAAAAGCGTATTTGCTATGACCATTGTATTCTCTTGACAGAATTCTATCAACCTGTGCCCTGCTTCATTTTGTATTCCAAGGCCAAACTTGCCTGTTATTCTGGTTAACTTTTGGCTTTCTACTTTAGTATTCCAATCCCCATGATGATAAGGACATCATTTTTTGGTGTTAATTCTATAAGGTGCTGTAGGGCTTCATAGAACCAGTCAATTTCATCCTCTTCAGCACCAGTGGTTGGGGCATAGACTTGGCTTACTGTGATATTGAATGGTTTGCCTTGGATTCAAATGGAGATCATTCTGTCATTTTGGGGATTGTATCCCAGTATTGCTTTTCCTATTCTTTTATTGATTATGAAGTTTACTCCATTTCTTCTGAGGGATTCTTGCCCACAGTAGTATACCTGATGGTCATCTGAATTAAATTCACCCATTCCTGTCCATTTTAGTTCACTGGTTCCTAAGATGTCGATGTTTAGTCTTTTCATCTCTTGTTTGACCACGTCCAGCTTCTCTTGATTCATGGATCTTACATTCCAGGTCCATATGGAGAATAGATCTTTACAGCATTGGACTTTCCTTTCACCACCAGATGCATCCACAGCTAAGAGTCCTTTTGGCTTTGGCCCAGTCGCTTCACTACTAGTAGCACTCTGGTGCTACTTGTACTAGCCCTCTGCTCTTCCCCAGTAGCATATTGGACACCTTCCGGCCTGAGAGACTCATCTGGCGTCATATCTTTTTTTCCTTTTGGTTCTGTCCATGGGGTTTTCATGGGAAAGATACTGCAGTGGGTTGCCATTTCCCTCTCAAGTGGATCATGTTTTGTCAGAACTCCCTGCTTGGGAGTTGGGTGGCCCTGCACGGCATAGCTTCATTGAGCTATGCAAGCTACTTTGCCACGACAAAGTAGTAATCCATGAAGGGGAACTTATTCAGTAGAACAGGAAATTTTCTGCTCATTTTTCTTAGTGGAATATTTAATGTTAAATTTCATACTAAACATTAAATGGAATAGGTTTATCAACTAATCTCTGTTGTCCTATATAGGTAGAGTATGAAGCAAGTTGTAGAATAATATTTTCACATGTTATGATTTTATTTGAATAAATGTCAGTAACATTTCTGGAAATCAACAACTGATTGCAAAAATCTTTTAAAATTAGCTACTTAATGTAAACAGGTAAGATTTTTTTTTTAGATTTTGAAGTTTAGCAAAGTGAAACAAATCAATATTTCAATCCTATGTGAAATCACTCTTTCCAGTCATTATGAAATTCAAGCTTTCCTGATAATACTGTTCTGTATAGGACTGTTTTCCTTTGTGGGTTTCTCCGTTTCTTCGAATAAATATATCAAGAGTGTATATCTTACTATGGTGTTTATGTAAAAAGGGCAGTACTATGATGCATCTAGTATTATAATATATATATTACAAGGAAGCAAGGGTCAGCTAAACTAGAAAGAAACCTATTTAAACAGAATGCATCTTATGTTTTCTTTTCTAGATTTTTTTCTTGGTAATTGCATTAGAATATATACTGTATATAACTAAAACATGTCCCAATAATAAGCCCAATTGGGCTTTTGAGTGCATGCACTAAAATAAGCCCCCCTGAAAATAAGCCCGCCCCAAATACTTAGATGCATTCATGGGGGGGGAGGAAGGGAGGAGGAACATCAGAGCCACTGCCACCCAAGATCAGCAGCATATTAGGTGAGACGGATGCACCGCTGCCACTCAGGAGAAGAAGAGAGAGAGGAGGCACTGTGAGAGACCTCATTTCTGACGTTCTTCTCCTCCCAGGTGGTGGCAGCGCATTCAACTCCCCAAATCTGGCTTGCCAATCTCGGCCAGTGAGGGGGAGTGGCAGGTGGGGTGGGGTGGTGGAGAACCAAGATGCATGAAGCAAGATGGGGCTTCCCTTGCCATCTCTTCTCCTCCCCCCCCCCTTGTCGGGCATAGCAGGAGCTGGAAGTCAGATAAGACATGTGGAGACACGAGACATGTGTCTTACCTGACTTCCAGCTCCTGCCATGCCCAGTCGGCATGCGATGGAGGAAAGTCCATCTGTCCATGAGGAAACGTGGCCAGCAAGGGTCCCACTGGCATGTCCGACCACTGAGGAAGGGGGAGACAGGGTCGCTCAAAGCCCAGCGAGATGCCTGTTACTGCTCAGCCCTTGACATACTCTGTCTTGAGGTGGCTGAGGCAGGCGCCGTGGCTCCAGATAGTGAGTGCAAGCAGCTTGTACTTCTCCCATAGGCCAGCCGAGATGGTAAGCGTCTCCTTGAGGAGGGCTCGTGCATGCACCAGCATTCCCAGGAAGTTGTCATTGAGGCAGCTCTCCTCATGGGTCTCATGCTCCTGGCCCTGCCAAAACTTGTTTTCCATCTCCCCAGGTGACTTCTCTGAGTTGGCAGGTATGAAATAGTGATGCAATGTCCTGTTGGATGTCTCCAGATAAAACGGGCCATCAAAATAGCCATGGTACAAGCTGATCAAACAGCTCAGCAGCCACACTGAGAGGAGCCCCAGAAGCATCCTGTTTTGGTCCTCCAGCAGCCTGTGGACCTGGCAACAGAGTTGGACAGTGAGGAGGCTGGGGAGAACAATGGGCCAGTATTGGAGTCAGGGGAAGGCCCGGATGAGGGCTCTGCATCAAAGGCAGAGATGGGGCCAGGGCCATCTGGGAGCGATGCTCAGACTCCAGAGCCTCCAGAGGTGGACAGCAGAGAGGCAGAGGAACAGGAGGAGCCTGTTCCTAGTGCACACATACAAAGAGTTGCCAGAAGGCAAGAGCAGCTTAAGAAAAAAGGACAACTTGGGAATAAGGCCAGAAAATGATTGACCACTCCCATAAGGCTTAAAAGAGCAGCAACGAGGTGTTGGGTTCTTTGTAGAAAAGCAACGTTGATTCCCATGCTTTTTGTCAGTATCTCTTGAACTTTGTGGGGGGGTTGCCAAGAAAAGCCTTTGGCGGGTTGCCAAAGACATCAAAGATTGGTGATAAGGCCGACGGACTGGTTATTAAGAATTTTGTTTTGGACTAAGCTGAGAATGAATTAATTTTCAGCCATTTTAATAAAATAAGTTTGTTGAAGACTGAATTGTGTTTGGTAATCACTACTTGGGCCTTGGTCACAACAGTTTGCTTTTCTACCAAACGAGACTAATTACCAAAAAACCTTTATCACAATGGAACAGCTTTGTTCCGAGAATGCACAGCTTCAGCAGCAATTAGCTTTGTTATCTGCACAGATGGCTCAGCTCCAAGCTCCAACTGCAACCCCTCCCTGTAGAAAATGTCCCATTTCTGTACCAGAAATGTTTGATGGCAATCAGGCCATGTTTCCTGCTTTTATGGGACAATGCCAGCTTTTTATCAGTCTGAGAACTGAGGACTTCCCCACTGACCGGGATAAAGTGAGGTTTATAATCAGCTTGCTCTCTGGGTCTGTGGCTCACTGGGCCACACCCCTGCTGGTCCAGGCTAGTCCTCTGTTGGATGATTTCAGGAGGTTTTGTGAGCATCTCAGACTTATGTATAAGGACTCCATCAAAGTGCAGACTGCCACTGGACATCTGAA